ATTTATAAAAAAATTATTATAATTATTATTAATTTTTAACATGAAATTCACTATTTAATATTTTTTTTATATAATTGAGAAATTAAAATAATATACAAGTCAATATTAAAATGTATATATTAGATCTACAAATATATAGTATACTATTATATGTATGTAAATTTTCATAATAAAAAATTATACATATACTAATAGTGAATCATTCAAAATGATAAATGAATTTTATATTAATAAGTAATTCAAGGTCATGATTAAAAATTAATAATATATGACATTTGATAAAAATTAAACAATAAGTCTAATAAAAATATGAGCATATAAAGAGTACAAACTTAATAGTTATAGAGCATATGTAGAGTTATAATATAACTATAAAAACAAGCGTAATAATAAAACATGTGGGAAATCATAAGCTACTTTGTAGTATATGTGGGGATCTTTTTAAGCTAACAACTCCATTATTCTATCATGGTGCAAGTTTTTCATGTTAGATAACATACAAATTGCTTACAATAATTTTCCTCATATGATTTGCAAGCATAAAATAGCTCATATGTGCTTTGTCTTGCAAGATGAGGCTTAGGTAAGAAACATGACAATATTTTCTCAAATATAGCTCTAAGCATGTATGAATTGGTACATATGCATAGGTAGCTATATATTATAAATTTTATAGTAAAAAAGACAAAGAGACATAATTCATTTAATTTTATCATTAAAAAATTCATATGCAAGAGACTTTATATTTATGAAAATAAGAGAAAGATTTATAAGTACACTAAAAGATATACTCAAATATATCCATAATTTTAAACCTATCATCATTTTCATGCGTACTACTGTCTTCAGATATTCCACTAAGCCCAATAAGATAAAGATCTTTCATAATCCAACATATTTAAGCTCAAAATATAATATAATTTAATGACTTGATAAAATAAGTTTCGAAATAAATACGATCATATATGCCTCAAAGTGCATGAAAATCGGACTTTATAACAACAACAATGACGATGACCTATAGCAACAGTCCTTCGTTTTTAAATATGTCTCAAGAAAATGAAGATTTATAAAGTCATGTAGCAACTACGAACTCAGTTGTGCAACTTATTAAAAAATAAATCATCAATGCTCAACAGATATTTTTCTTTTTGTTGACAGTGCATGAGGAACTTTGCAATGCCTTTATGATATTTGGTTATGATTTGGTGCTGTGAATTTTTATATAGAAGTTAACAAAGAAGTATCGACCGACATATTAGTGACATCTACTTAGAGAGCACTGATATATGGGATTTACCTAAAATGCAATGTTAAATTTGGCATATTGACTTAATGGAGAAATTCTAATATCAATTGAAAGATCAAATTCCATAACATTATCATTTAGCTTCCTTACAAATCTATAAGTATCATGTTTCTTGAGGGTTAACTATTTAATAGTTATATTTTGAAATATTTAAAGCCTAGCTTTAACTAAACCTCCCTCATTAAATTATATGTATAATTATCAAGCATCAACATCGGCTTTGTATTTATCATAACACAAAATAACTTTTTACTAAATTTATTAGAGTAAGTCACATATATCTTATGTGAATTGGGGCGTAGATGCACTAAACTTTGATTAAATTAAAGAGGCAGGTCAATAAGATTAATTGTCCTTTAGATTTATGCCCAATGATAGCATGGAAATGACTTATGTCAGTTTGCCTATTGATGGAATGATTCTATACAAATATTAAAGTAAGAAGGATGGGATGCTAACAAGTTGTATTGTAAATTAATAAGTACATGTGGGTCTCATAAGCTCATGTTAATAACTTCAACTTAATAATTAGTCTAGTGATAATAGATTGTGGGTTGTACCAAGTCTCTTCCACATAAGTTTTTCAAAATGGCTAAAAAATTGTATATCACAATCAACGATAATCATCTTCATAAGCTCATAAAGACAAATATGTCAAAAAATAAAATATATGATATATATGATGCATTATATATCTTATAGTTGAATGAAGTATGTCATTTAAGAAAAATTCAACAACTTCTAAGATGGAGTAAAAGCTACGCATTGTGCATGGCATCTTGATATTAAAGTTCATGTTTAAAAAATTTGATTGGGCATATATGGACTATATATATCATCAGTCATTGCCACTAGGCAACATATCATTAGGTGATAACATGAACATATCCCTCTTGAGGTTAGGCTAATCCTCCATTGTAGCTAGTGTCTTATCACAATCGAATTGACTAACATATCTCCCAAATGTATTTAAAAAAAAAAAGGATATTTTGAATTAAAAAATCTAAAATACATAGTTGAATTTATTGAAGTAGATAACCACCATATATTTGATAGTCATAATATAATTTTGTTTGAAGTATTTATAATTAGGGCAATCACATTTAACCTTGTTGAATTCAATAACCTTTAGCAATAGTGCATATTCAACTCAAGGCATCAACAATTTTGTTCATAGCACCGAATTTGCACTTTAAAATAGAAGCATACTTAGAAAAAATTAAACTTATTTTACAAGATCAAAGATATGTTTTTTCTAAGTATAATTTCCGATTTTCTCAAAATATAATAAGAAGAGAAATAACTTGAAATATGCACATAATACATAAAAGTGCACATATTATATCTATAAATACTTATCATTAGAATTTCCTCAACTTTTGTAAGGAAATCCTCATTTTTCACTTTCATTTATTTGATATGAATATTTCTTTCAAAAAATTATTATCTTATAAGGGTAAATTATATATGTAACTCAGTGCGAATATTAAAATTATAAATTACTATTATTTTGTTTAGTAAAAAAGATAAATATGCATGTTAGTTATCTCAAATGAGTTTGGATGAAATTATAAAAAAATTTAGTTTTATTCAATTGTGAGAATGAAAAATGAAACATAACGTTTAATTGAACATCAGTAGCACGTGCAAGAAAAGAAAGTATCATATTATATAATATATTATAATGTGTTATAATAAATCTTCATAGGATTGGAAAATTGGAATGATAATTGGCTAATCCAACAACTCTTGAAATTTAGATCTCGACATAGCTCACCTTGGTCTATTGGTTGGGAGCCTTGGCTACCAACCAAGATGTCCTGTGTTCTAGTGATATTATGTATGTGATGTGTGTGTGGGTTTGCCTTAATTGACTGAAATATTCCCAAAAAAAGATCTCTCTTTGATTACAATAAGCATTTATGCAATGATATATAGCAATGACGAAGACTTGTTCAACATTAATCTTGAAAGAAGATATATCCACACACTAAGTTTTCTATGTTTTTCTTCTTCAAACCAAATTTTTTGTTCAATTCAATGACAACTTACCCCTTTTTCCTTGCACTAAATTTATGTGGTTGGATTTCCAATATTCTTTGAATATACTGTGACATACATTGTAATATAATGAAAGGAGCCAAGACATGAGATCTCTCTGTAATCTATATGGCATTGCATTTATCTTATTTATTGAGAAAATAGGACCAAATTTTTGTACCGGCTAAACAGCCTCACAATTATATATGTGCAATGCTTATTGAAGTCCATTGTCAATAAATATGGAGTTCAAACTAATTTGAATTATAAATTTGTTAAAACTTGTTATGACAAAAAAATTGAATAAGGCAAACAAGGTTCGTTGAACTTTATTCAAATAAATTTTTAATAAAATTTGAAAAAGATTCAAACTTCCTTCACATGCACTAGTTATGTGAAAAGCCGTCTCTTCACAAACCATCAGTCTTGTTGGTAAGCCCATAACTAGCTCCTATGCAGAACACCCTTATCCTTGCATGTTGATGGTCTTCTCGACGATCCCCAACAATCTCCCATTGTGAATGGTCGCACTTAGCTCCTATGTAGAACCCCCTTCTTCTCTAATGCCGATGCTCATGTCCACAAGCTCCAATGATCTCTTGTTGTGAAATCAAGCATACAACTAGTGCATACATGAAACCTTCTTATCCTCACATGTTGATAGTCCCGTTGGCAAGCCCAATGACATCCCATTGCAAAATAGAGTTCGCCTTAGCTCCTATGCGAAACCCTATTCTCTTCCCACTTTCATAGTCCTATTGGCAGGACCTAATGATCTCCCATTCTGAAATTGAGCCCGTAACTAGAACATACTTGAAACCACATTTTATTCATATGTGGTCCCGTTAGCTAGCCCCAACAACATACCATCATGAAGTCAAGCTCGTGACTAACACTTATGTGAAACACCCTTCTCCACACATGGCCATGATCCCGTTGGTAAGCCTGGCTGCCTATCCATCAAGAAATTAAGCCCAAAGCTAACTCATACATCAAAAGCCTAATTGGTGAGCCTAGGCCATCACGAATTCGAGTCTACAACTAGCTCTTATGTGAAACTCACTTCTCACATTTAGATACTCTCATTGGTGAGCCCTAGCCACCATGGTAGGGCTAGAAAATATATCAAGTGGGGGCACAAATTGATTGTTTTCAAACATTCTCTCTACTTTTTCATCTAATCTTGAGAGCAATATTAATAGTTTTTATTTATACTTCTATTTCAATGGAACATAAATATTAATAATATAAGGCCCTCCTCATCTCTAGCCACCGCATAGCCACATCCAATTATGAATATCATTCTCCTTGTGTGTTACAGTAACACAAAACTCCTAGATTAAAATTAATTCGTAGAACACTAGAATTTGATTTGATTCCAGATTCAAATTCAATTTAATTTTTTAAACAAATTTTGATAAATATGTCAGAATAATTTATTATAGAATTATTTTTTTGAGAATATTATCTTGATAGCACAAACAATGATCTCATTTCTCAAATAGTTAAATATCCAACATGATTGGCATTTAAAATCTCATTCTAATTTATTAGGCGGGATATTAAGTGCTCATAAAACAGGCTTTAAAATATAAATATTTTTCTCAAGAAAAAAAAATCCCCTCTTTTTTGTTTATCAGACGCGGTTCACAAAGCAGTTTCGATTTCATCTGTTCGGAGTCAACATTCGGAGAGGCGCCTTAATGCCATAAAAACGCTGGAAATCTGTCGAACGAAGCTTCAGTGCCATCCAAATCAAGCTACTGCTCTACCGACTCCACAGCTTATCCGCGCTCCGCCCTTGCAGCGGGAACCAATCTTCTCCTCGATCGGCGGCATCCCATTGATCGATCGATCTTCTATAGCTCCTCTCTGCCACCGCCATTTCTACTGTTCCTTGTCAAAGACCGATGAAAGAAGGTGAACAAAGGTCAAATGGAAGGGGATGAGCGAGAGCGAGATAGAACGGGGGAAGAATCACGTGCGAGAAAGCTGACCTTCTTCTCGGGTCTCTTTCGCTGTAGCTTTCTGTCGTGAGAGCCGCCCTTATCTTCTTCTTCGCAAAAAGGAGTAAAGAAGTTGATAGATAGGTCGAGAGAGAGAGTGGGAAGAGCGAAAGAATGATCGGCTGAAGGAGGGGTGCTGGGTTCCGCCGCCCATTGACTTCTTGGATCCACTGTTGCTGCTACATTTTTCAGTGTAGGTTTACCGTCATAACGATTATGCCCAACCTCTGCTTACCTTTTTCTTTCCATTTCTCAAACCTTAACCCCTCGTTTTTTCTTGTATCCAAAACAGTAACCCTGTTTTTTGTTTTTTTGCGCATCTCAGGCACTATTTCACTGGTACAAGGAGGCCATGCTCACGCTTGGGTTTGCCCAAGACCAGTGCTATCAGGTTGTTTTTCTGCTTTTTCTAGTTCTTTATGTGAAGTGTAGGAGACAAGCATCATAGACTTTCGTTTGAAAAAAAAAATAAATAAATAACATCATTGACACCATTGAGCCAAACAAGAAATAACTCTGATGCAATGCAGTGGATGCTAATTTGTATGGTCTGACTGCTATTGACGATGTTTGATGTTTATTAATGCATTGATCTTTTTTTTTTCTGATTGTTTGGTTTTGCTCCTCTTTTCAATTTGTTTATTTTTGTTCTGATAGAGCCTGTTTGGTATACATATTTCATTTTATGAATCTATTTCTCTGTTCATAAATCAAAGTATTCTGCACCACCTTTGGCCTGTTTGGTTGGAACTAATGGTTTACAAAACCGGAGTAGTTCCGGTTTTACCTGAGGTTTCCCGATGAAGATTTTCGTATTAGTTGAATGGAAAATTGTTGAACATCTGGAAGGATGACAGATAGCAATGAGAGCAATCTCTGTGGCAGCAGAGGAGGAGATGGAGGATAAGAGTCATCTGCTGACAATGTGGAGGTAGTTTGAGCATTGATTTGATAGCAAGGAGGAAGAAGAATAATATGAGAGAGGAGCTGTTGAAGAGGAGGCAGTGGAACGGAACGGGAACAAGCGTGGTCAGAGGCATGGTTTAAAATTGTGCAATATGAGGCTCGCCTTGAGGGGGCCCGCCTTTGCGCAATTCTAGTAAAAAGCGACGGGAACAAGCGTGGTCAGAGGAGAAGAATACAAACATTGAGATTGGGGTAGAAGATGGATGTGTGTTTAGTTTGCTCACAAGGGCTTAATAAGCTTGTGTGTTGAATTACAAGTTGATCCCAAACTGGATTGTATTGCTCTGATACCTATGCTAAGTCAACAAATGCGGAAGTCAGTTGCATTTACTTTCATGATTGGGATGATACTGGGAACTTTAGCTGACAAATTAATGCACATTACTTGAAAAATGAACTATATCTATTGCTACTAAAATTACACTCAATGTATTCGGTTTTAGATCTACTCAAAAGATAACCTTTAGACTCTAGGGTTGACCTCCATAATTTAAGTTTTCCTTCAACTCCCTCTCTTGTCTTATCAACGAGAAGAATATCATCAGCAAAAAACATACACCGTGATTCATCCTCTTGCAAATGTCTAGTAAGAACATCCATGACTAAACCAAAAAGATATGGACTTAAAGCTGATGCTTGATGTAATCTAATTGAAATAGAAAAAAAATTGGTCAAACCATCTTATGTTTGAACACAAGTAACAACTTATGCATACATATTCTTAATGGCTTGAACGTAAGCATTATTAACTAGAACTCTCCAGAGCACTTTTCTTAGAACTTTATTATATGAATATCTTTCACCCTGAACTAAATTGCTGAAGCTTCTTTAGTAACATATGTTGAGTTGTTGTTTGTCAGGTCAATTGCTCAGACCTCTAAGTTGCTCTTATTTTGTTAGGGAATTTAAAAATTTTGCTTGTGGTATTGACCAGAAATGTTGGTTTATTTAGTTAAGATGGTTCAGTTACCTTGCTGGTAATGGATGCAGCTTGTAGTTGTTTGATCGTGCACTCCAATTTATTAAATCTGCCATATGATTGCCTTTATGGCTATTTCATTAATGGATTCACGTTTGATTTACTATGGTGTAGTTAATCCTTAAAAAATTTCTCATGCACTCATCCATTTTCAATTTTTCATCATTTGTGGTGTATTCTTTTGATTTATTAACAGGATGCTGCACTCTTCCCTGAATATTATTTGTTTTTGTAACATAATATGCTTGTATGATTCTGAAATGAATTTGGGTCTTTTCTAGATTTGGAAATCCTGATGAGCTCCTAAAATGGCTGTGAAGAACAAATTCAAGTTATTTGCACTTGTGGGAATTGCCTTCTGTGTAGTGTCACTGCTGGTACATCTTCTGCTTGCAGATTATTCAGCCGGGGACATTATACAATACAGGCCAACAGCAGATAAGATTTACCAACATGGAAAGGTACGCCTTTGAACTGACTTTGTAGGTATTCATTCTTAACTTTTGAGTTAAATGAAAGCTATTGATGAAGTGATTGCTGGTGAAACTAGTTCACTTTCCTTGCATCTGATAATTCTTCTAGTTAATAAGTAAATTACTGCTCTTTTTCTGCTCATTTGTTGTTATTTTTTAAATGCTTTGCAGAAGTTTAGATACAGAAAATTATGGGGTTCAATCCAATCTTTGGAGAGCTTACAACCGTTTGCTAACCCTAGAAAAGCTTATCCAGGTATTTATTCATGGTATTGTTGACTTCATTTTATTTTATTTTATTTTGTTTATACTTTTTCTCCGAGTTATGTTGCAATTATGCAACACTACTGTTGCCAGGTCCCAAGTACTTGATGAGAAAAATGGAGGGTTGCGTTAGGTAGTCGAGAACCAGCGTAAAACTTGTCGAATAATCATAACATGAATCCTTTAAGCGAAAAAGGATTCATGTAGCCGACCCCACGTAGTGGGACAAAGGCTTGATGTTGTTGTTGTTGTTGTTGTATGTTGCAATTATGCATAGCAACTCTCAAAAAGTCCCTTTTCTTATCCATCACGGATCTCCATTCATGTGGAATAAGGAGAATGATATGCGGACCTCCATTTTCTTCTTCATTTATAGCAATTAGCTTGCTCTTGGGAATATGGTTATCAGATTAGCTCATTTAAAAAAAAAAAACATTAAAATTTTTGTCCTTTCCTACTTGTTTGATCCCTGAGCCTGCTATGGAAGAAGTGATTTTACCATCTATAAGAAAATTGCATTATGGTATATTTCAAGTCCAATTAAAAAGTTAGCGACTTGATGCAGGACTTACCTTAGAAGCCTCTCCTAAATAGCATTACATGTAAACTGACAGAATTTAGATGACTGGTTTGCTAACTGTTCTTTAGAAATGTGATTGTTTAATGACCCTTGATCATCATGAGGAAGCTGGGAGCGAATCATGAAAAATTTTCTTTTTTTTTTTTAATGAATTTTATTTTAATTGAAACCCATTGATTTTAGTATGAATTAAATGCTCGTATTGCATGTTCAAATGTGGGTAGGTGGGAACAAGGAAGCCTTCATATGCTTATTTCAGTTCGGACTTTATATCACATCTTTCACATGTAGTTGGGATCGGTGAAAAGGCCACATGAGATTTTCTATTATGCCAATTAATTATTTTTATGGCAAGTGTATCTGAATTAATATGCAATGGTCAAGGTATTATTCTTGTATCAACTAGAGGTCATATTTGTCATACTTAAAGTGAGTCCCGTATTTGCAGTTACTGTAAATATTGTTATGCCTTTTAATTTAACTAAGAAACATATAGCTAATGAAGCTTTTCATTGAAGGCTGATCATCAATGCCAAATACAGTTGGATAGAGACTTGCTATATGTAATGCATTTTTGGTTTCTTTCTTCACCGAGACATCTATCTATATCTATGTGCTCAGTTTATTTCGATTTTAGAAATAGCTGCATGGCTATTTGCTTCTTTTTTGGGATGTACAGTCATTACTAGGATCCATGAACTCAGATTCCTTTTAAGGATTGATCCATTTGTCTCACCCAGCGTTACTTAATTTTCTTTTGTAATTTCTCTCATGTTACCTTGTTGTGTTACAGTTCCTGGAAAGCAGAATGGTTTTATATATGCAAAGATATATGGTGGATTTGATCATGTTAAATCTTCGGTAGGCTACCTTCATCAAGTTTTTTTTTTCTTTTTTGGATTTGAATTTCTAAATGTTACGTGGTCACTTTTTCATCATTGTCAGATTTGTGATCTTGTAGCTGTTTCAAAATTGCTAAATGCTACTCTTGTCATTCCTGAGATTCAAGATGGTATTCATTCTAAAGGAGTTAGGTAATTTATGCAAGAGAGTGCCTCAGATGTTAATCAGTCTAAAAAATTGTGTTTTTGTGGTACATATCTTCCAATCTCTGGCTCTCCTACCTTTTTGTTTGTGCTTCACGCAGTTCCAAGTTTAAGAGCTTTTCTTATGTCTACAACGAGGAGCAGTTTATAGCTGCACTATCAAATGATCTGGTTATTGTGAAGAGATTACCTAATGATCTAAGGCTAGAAAGGAAAAGGAATAAGTATCCAACCTTTCCGATCAGATATTTAGCTCCCCCAAGCTTTTATATCAACGAAATATTGCCTAAATTGAAGCAATCAAAGGCTATTGGCTTGCTGATTACTGATGGTGGATGCCTTGAGGTATGATATTTCCATGGTCCCATGCATTTTACATGCTAAGGATGCCAATGCCCAAAAATAATTTTTTTGTTACATGCATTTGCTAATAATGGCATATTTGAACTAATTTGCAATCCCATATACGGTTCTTTCACTGTCATATACATCATCGATATATATCTAGATTACTGCTTGGTAGTTTTTGTTAAAAAGATTCTTTTGAGTGTTTTGCTGTATCAAGTATTGTTTATGGAGTGGTAATGGAGGGAGCATGAAAATAATAAGTTTTAGGATTATATTTGATGATTTTGAGAGTCTATGAATGCTGAGAAAGTAATGAATATAAATGAAAATATCAAAATAGTGAGAGGGCAATGATAATGAATGAAGGTGAGGAAGTTTTATTTTGAGATTGCTTTTGCCTGCCTTACACAGCTTAATTGATTCAAGGGAAGATGTTGATAGGAAATACTTAAATACTTGAGTTCAAGTATTTCCTAGCCAAATCTGAAGTAAAACGAGAAGAAAACTGCTGTTTTCAGTCGAGGACAGCAGCCAAACACAGGAAAACAGCGAGAAATTGCGAGAAAACTTAGAGAAAACTCAAGAAGAAACTTGGATTCCACTAGATAATGAATAAAAATAGCAAAGATACAATTGATCCTCAATTCGAGAGGAGGATCGATCTCTCCCAAATCTCTAGACGCCGCTAGAGCCCAAAGAAAACCTAAATCTAAGAGATCTCAAATTTCAGCCAAATTCAAGATACCCAAACCGAAAATCAACTATTTAATGCATACAAATCAAAAGGAAATCCCTAAACAGTCCCTACATTCAAATTTCCCTATCAAAACTCCAAAAAAAAACTTCTTAAACGGCTCTACGTGGGCTGGTCGGGCCACTCGTTCTTCGCCATGAGGCGGATTCTCCGCCTGTTTTGCGATTTCGCCAGTGAACCGGTCCCGCCTGGACCGGTCTAACAGATGCTTTCATTGATGCTATTGGGGGCACAAGATGGCTGTCCAACATGTTGCAAAAGCAATAAATCATTAATCTCATTCATTAACTTGGTCTAAAAAGGATATAAGGGCTATTTAATTGAATATCATAAAATTAACAATCACTTAACAACCCTTACTGCAAGAACAAGAAGGATGAGAGAAGAATAGCTTTTAACACTTCTTGATTGAAACCCTTGCTAATATCAGTGCTTCAGCACACCAAATAGTATTGTTCATTCCTAGCATTCAGGTTCTTGATTTACAATGGAAGGTAACATCAACAGATGAGGACCCAAACAAAGCGATAAATGGGAGGTGCAGAATACAAGAAACAAAACACGAAAGAGTAAAACGAGCAACCAAATAGAAATAATTGTAGAATGTCAATGCAGAAAAACTTAATACCCATTCTAAGCATGCTGTATGGGCTGACAACTTATGGAGCATGAAAGTGATGGGTTTTAGGAGTTGTTTTGATGGTGGGAATGCTGGGGCAGTTTTAAACATTGAAGAATTGATAAAAGGGCCATGGTAATGGATGATGAAGAGGAACTTTTATCTAGAGAATTCTTCCAACTATTATATCTCATGTAGCTCCCGTCTCATGGAGATGACATCCCACTGATACAAGGATGAAGGGGGATGGGGTTCACAGAACTGCTGGCCAACGACTTGCAAGAGCATGAAATCACAAATCTCATTAACTTTGTCTAAAAAAGGATGCAAGAGCTATTCATAAGAATAGCATTGTTCAAACAATGAAGTGTTGTTTTAATGGTGGCATTGTTGGGGTTATGGGTGTAAACCAGTCAAATCGAGTTTGAGGCACCCCTGACTTGAGTTAGAACTTGATTAATTAATCAAGTTCGAACTCGAGCTTTATTCTATGAGTTCGAGCTCGTTCACGAGTCTGCTCGTTTATTATAAAAGAGAGCAAATGATTATGATCCAGTCAATTTTTATAATAAAATAATAAAAAGAATGAACAATTAGAAGAAAATGATAAAAGAATCACATTATATAAAAACAAATTATAATTTTTAAATATTTTTAACAACTTTGTACTTAAAATCTTGAATGCTAATATATTTTAAGTGCATTTATAGTAATATTTTTTTAAACGAGCTGGCTCATGAGCTAACAGATCGAGTCAGGATTGACTCAAGCTTGCTCGTTAGCTCATCAAGCTTATCTATTGAGCCATTTATTGAGTCGAGTTCGAGCTGATTCACAAGTTGGCTCGACTCACTAATACCCCTAGTTGGGGTATTTATAAGCATGGAAGAAATTGATGAAAAGGTGATGACAATGGATGTTGAAGAGGAACTTTTTCTAAAGAAGTCTCTGAACTAGCTCATAATGCTCCTTTTGCACGGAGATGACATCTCATTGATACCAGAGGAAGGGAGAGGAGGTTCACAGGATTGTTGGCCAATGACTTGCAAGGTTTGAAATTACAAACCTCATCAACTAGGTCTAAAAGAGGATGCAAGAGCTATCATAAGATTAACATGACCCATGATAATGACACATGAATCTTAAAAGAAGAAACAATACAATGTCCTAAGCAATACAGAAAAATACTAAATATTGTTAATATATTTTAAGGCATAATCTAATCGGATATCCAGTAGGGATATGGATGATGACGATGAATGTTTCAAGGGTTGTATTCAAGTGGACTTGGCCACACAGATGTATTGGCATTTACTGTCTGGCATTTGATTCATATGGACCAGAATACTTTCAGTTATATGATAGAAATAATTTAATTTTAAGTTTTTTTTCCTAATATTAGCTAGAGTTGTCTGATGACTTCCATGAGATCATAAACTGCACTTTTCGTTTGCATGAATAGTTTGCAACATCTATAAATTTCCAATTTACACTTTTGATGTATATTTTGCTTCCTTTTGATATTCTAATTACCTTTACTAGGATTCATTTGTCACCTGATTAGGATTAAGGTTTAATGGTTAGAATTTTGAAGGGTGTTTTACGAGTCCGTTCAGGAAATTATTGAAGTTATACTACAAATAAAATATCAAATTTAGAATATTTTAAACATTCCCAGTCTATTTTTCATACGCATTAATTATGTTAATATTATGTGAATAATGCACTCTATATTTATTCAGGAAAATAATTTTGCTAAAATACAAGGACATTTAAAATATCAGGAAATACCATTGATCAAGGAAACCCCTTAAAGATTTAGACACTATTCACCAGGGTTTGAGATTATATAAAGTGAGTTTTGTTCTTAGGCCAATTATAAGTACATCGAAAGCAAGTTTTTGGCGTGATTGATCATTGTCCCATTAAGAAGATTATTATTAGTTTTTCTAGATAATGCATAATTCTTCTGATATGTTACACTTTTCCGCAATTCCTACAGTCTATTCTCCCCCCAGACATGGAAGAATATCAGAGACTTAGGTGCAGAGTTGCATTCCACGCCCTTCAGTTTCGTCCAGAAATCCAGGCACTCGGAAACTTGATGGTGGAGAGGTACTTTTCTGTTCATTTAGTTTGCTGCGTAGTTAATTATAAAATGCACCTTGGTATTGAATTTAGCTTTGACCGCTGGAATAATCCAATCAGTTTCTTTTCACCTTTAGAGTGCATTGATTTACTGCCGTCTACTTATAATGATCTAATATTTCTTTAGCAATAGATTGTACTGCATAACACCTTCCACCCGAATCATGTTGAGTTTGTTCTTTCCAATTTTTGCTGAAGTGGAGATAAGAAAATAGTAGTTTTGTTCATTTAGTGTGTTAATATTGTCGCTAAAAAATTTTCTATTTATTCTAGCTTAATTGGAATTCGTTTTGCAGATTAAGGGCTTCTGGTCGTCCTTATCTTGCTTTTCATCCTGGCCTTGCAAGAGATACCTTGGCATTTCATGGCTGTGCTGAACTTTTTCAAGTTTGTATTTAAATTTAATTACCCATTGATTACTGTTTTTTTCTTCCAATAATCCTGTTTAAGTTGATTATTGTGTTTAGATAGGCCTTCTAGCATTTATGAGTTTGAAGGAATGATTTTTTGTGACCGCCTAACCAAATGTTGTAGAGGTTCATAATTTCATTGACAGTTTATTACTTGGCCTTGTCTAGGATGTTCATACTGAACTCATTCAATATAGAAGGAAGCAGATGATCAAGCGTAGTATTGTTCACGGAAACCTGAGTATTGATTCTGCATCTCAGAAAAGAAAGGGGCTATGCCCACTTCTGCCTGAAGAAGTGAGTTTTTTTCCCTACTTATTGCATCTCTCAATTGTTTGGCTAAACTTGCGGTATTTACGTTCCTAAAGTGTTTCGGTAGTTAAAAAAAAGTGTTTCAATAGCTTGCTCTTAAGCTGGTGCATTTGACACCCATCTTAAAAGACATTAATTCAAAAACTAAACTGTATTGAATCATCATTATCATTATCATCTACGTTGGCCTTATTCCAAATATATATGATGTAATTTACGTGTAAATGCTTAGGAGATTAAAAAATTTCTTGACTTACTAAACTCTTTAATATTATTTTGAAGACAACAAGATTCCAGATGGGTGGAGAAAAGTGTGTTAATTCTTATTTTAGAATAAAGGTAATGCACAAGAGTGTGCACATTATAGATGAATTAAGTTAATGTGTCATACATTAAAATGATGGGAGAGTAATTGAGCATAATTTACAATGTGATACTAATGTTTCTCAAAATTAGTTTGGATTCATGCCGGATAGATCTACAATGGAAGTTATACATTTGCTAAGAGGTTTCATAAAGCAGTACATAAAGAGTAAGGAGGATCTATATATAGTATTTATTGATTTAGAGAAAACATATGATTAAGTTCTAAGAAAAATGCTCAGGGGAGTTCTAGAAAAGAAATGAGTTAATTATTATTTATGTGCGGAATTTTATTGCGTTGATCAATCAGGTTATACCAATATTATGAAAATTGGACCGGACATAGAACCCAAATAAGGAAAGGTTTATACACATTATGAAAAATTCATAATATCTAAATTTATAATTCACATTAAAAAAAATCGCAGCCCAACCAGCTCAAATTTGCGGCCCTAGACCAAATTTGTATTCTAACTCATGTAGTATTCATGCAACTTTTTTTAGTTCTATATTATAGGGGAGTTTGAGGTAGTTTTCTTTATGTAGTATAAAATACATACAACTTACATCAAAGCATATTATGTGAGAATTGAGATGACATGCATATATCATGGTTGAATTCATCTTCATATCTAATGAAAATATTTTAAAAATTTTAAAAGGATTTAATAAACTAAAACATATTATTTAAAATTTTATTAAAATAAAATTAAATATTTTATAGAACCGTCCGATTCTATAAAATCGGAACGGTTCGATTGTTTTTTGATCGAACCGATGGTTCAAAGTAGTTGAAGCTGGTTTGATGCAAACATGGCTTTTGAATTTGACCGGATCGGTAACTTGGCCGGTTCACGGTTGAGCTTAATTCAGTCTGTCGAGCTCGCTGGAGGGTTGCAGGGAGGTCCTCCCCCTATTTGGTTTGGGTTCTTTAGAATTTTTTTTTGTACAATGACCCTGATGCTATGCACTCGAGCGTCTCGGTGCTGCATAATTTGCTTGAAGAAAAACTAAGAGCAGAAGCATTACAATGTTGCTAGGGAGCACTGCGGCGTTGTCAGATGGACTATAGGCAAAAGGTTAAGCGCCGCGACACTCAAACTTGGTACTGTAGCCCTGCGAAACGAGCTGAGAATTTTCTTTCTTGTTTTTCCTTATGAGTTATGCCCCTTGGTGATATCTCTTTGTTTGTTCTTGAGTAAGAACGGTGCAAGGGTGAAGAGAAGCAAGGAGAGAGTGAGAGAGATTTGTATAAATTTCTCCCAATTTTTATAGTGAATTTCTTGGTGTGATGTGGCTCCATGACTTTTTCCCGTTTTCGGATTTTTCCACTTTAAATCTTGGTGTTCTTTATTTTTTCTGCATTTTATCTTTCTTGTTTGTGTTTGTTGCTTGGTTTACTTCACCCAACATTAACAATGTTATATCAAGTTATTAAGGATATATCTAAGAGAGTTGTTAATCTTTCTTAAATTCAACATTAATAATAGTTGCAAAGAATGATTCAATCTTTGGACTTATATCAATTAGAGCTTATTGAATTGACTATTGCGCTCAAATCTTAGGTTTGTGAGCTATGAATGACAGTTTGGTCTTTAGACTTATTGAACTGGAATTTAATATTCCTGCTCAATCCTTGATTTGTTGAATTTGACATTTGTATGCTGATTTGCTTATTCGAGCTTGAATCAACACAAAAACTAGACTTCGAGATTTATGGGCTTATAATTGTTTAACCAATTTAGCTCCTTGAGCTTGTTGAACTGATTACCCGTTGCCTTTATCCTTGAATTTATTAAGCTGGACCTTACACATAAGAACTGGCTTTACTAATATAAGTTATTGAGCTAATGTGGATAGCTTGGCCTTTGGAATTCATGAGTTTGAATAATAGCTTAGCCAATTATATATATATATATATATATATGAGGTTATGGCTATTTTTAGGAGGCTTGGGCCTTATGCCCTTCATTTTGGTAAACTGATTGGCTCTCCCAATATATTGTTCACCAGGTATTTACAAGAGGCTTAGACTTAGGCTAAGTATTGTCATCAAAGAAGGATATAAACCATCTAGTGTCTGAGATTGCCTCCAAATGTTACCATGGATGAAAGTAAATGATTGAAAGGATTTATTAGGATGACTAAGGTGGCTATTTCAGGTGTGATTAGATAATCGGCAAATTTTACAATATTAGGATTTGTATTTGTGAATAAAAAGGGTAATAATTTTTTTAGATACATGAAATTTGGATGAATAAATCTAAAGTGCCATAGAATTATAGTACTTTCCTTAGAGAAGATATATAATGAGCAGGTTTCTTTTGTCTTTTAGTATTTCCTTCAACATTCAAAAGGTTGAGGCTATCATTTTCCTTTGTATTGTCAATTATCTTTCCTGTGATCATATTGTAGAATTTACAACGAGTAAGAAGAAATTTTGTTGTATGTTTCGTATCTTTTGTAATTTTAGTGATTGATAATAGATTGCAAGAAAGCTTAGGAATCAAGCATTTGTTTAACTTTCATTATAATTTTGTATTTATTTTAATATGACGAATGACAAAATATATAAAAATAAATTTATAATCTCACATACATCTTAATACCCAAAATGCGCTCACATTTAACTGTTGGGGTTGACTATTACTTTTGCCCTTGGGATCAAATTGAGACATTTTATAATAGTTGAGGGATTAAATTGGGACATTATGAAAGTTTGAGGTTAGATAGGGTATTTACTAATAGACAGAGTCTATTTTGAACTGTTACTTGATATTATGATGTTTTTTTCATGATCATTCACATGTGAATTGAAAATATATTATAATTTTACAAGAAAGCTATATATATACATATATGCCAAATTTATATTCATGCCATATATCTTTAAAAAATTGGTACGATCCATGCCCCGGTTTCTGTGCTCATGCATCATAGAAGATAGTCTCATGGTTGTTTTCATTTTGATCTTCCAAGTAAAAATTTTCAAAAATAGCATTTGTATATTTCCTATATCCTCACATTTGAATTAGATTAAGTTTCTAAATGCACTTTCTTATTTTCTCACCTTTTGTATGTCTAATTTCTCCTCAATATCTAACCTATTTTGCAAACCATCAAAAGCTATAGCATTGGCTTTACTTACCATGTTCCTTGCAAAATTCCAAGCTTCATTGTAATGTTCATATACTCATATGTCTCTATAGTGTCTATATTTTCATTATTTTAAAGCTCTTTTTTAATTAATCTTTGTACCTCTGCACTTCTACTTTGGAGTCTTCTATAATTTATGTACGCATATTTCTAAAATCTCATTAAACTAATATGATAATTCTTCTATTGTAAATTTGTAATTATTCATTTTATCTAACATTAAAGTTGGCCCAGTTTTAAGTTTTAGTTTGTTCTTTTAACAACATATCTAAGTTCTGTTAATGAAAGATGTACTTGAACTGTCTAAATTTATGTATCTTTGAATGTTCTTATATTTTCTGGGTGTTTGATGTACTTCATAGCATTAATTAGAATCAAGTTACCTGATGCATCATGTATGTAATGTTGAAGTCGTGTATAGTTTGCCTGGTTAATTTGGATTTGTATAAAATGCTTGATTGATTTTGATTTACACCATTAATACTGCCGCTTCTGAGTAATATTATTTTGGCTTAGCCAATTCAAAATTTGGTCAAAACTTGAACTCATCCTTGCAATTTTCAGGTTGGTCTTCTCCTTCGAGCAATGGGATATCCTCCAGACACAATAATTTATTTGGCCGGCGCGGAAATGTTTGGTGGCCAAAGGGTTCTAGTCCCATTACGCGCTCTATACACAAATTTGGTCGACCGAACTTCTTTGTGTAGTAAGACTGAGTTATCCAAGTTATTAGGTCCAGAATCCCCTCTTCCTTCAAATCTGCCTATGCCAATTCCACAGAAAAGCAAGAAACAACTCATTGAAGAGTGGAACAAAGCTGGGCCTCGACCGCGACCTCTCCCTCCACCACCTGCTAGACCATTTTATCAATATGAGAAGGAAGGCTGGTATGGCTGGATTGCTGAGAGTGACATTGAACCAGACCCTTCAGCAATAGATCTGAGATTGCAGACACACAGGTTGATTTGGAATGCTCTAGATTATTATGTTTCTGTGGAAGCTGACGTATTTTTTCCTGGATTTCATAATGATGGTAGTGGTTGGCCTGATTTCTCTAGCTTAGTCATTGGCCATCGGTTGTACCAAATGGCCTCTTCAAGAACTTATCGCCCTGACAGGTAACACTAACATTTAATTGTCAATTACCTTATTTTCTCCTAAATGGTAGTAGGTAGTTTGTGTGAATGAAGAATTATCATATTAGTTTAACACCTTAGATAGTAGTTAAATTGAGTTGAATGAAGAATAAGGATTTATAAAATATACTTCAAATAATTTGGATAAAATTAATGACAGACAATGACGATGACATTGATCCAATAATATTTTACTTGACAAAGAGTTATAATTCAGCAAACTTGATTTTATGCCCTTTATGTGATAGAGACTTAGTTTTCTAGTTTTAAGGTTTAAAATTTACTTGCCTACTTTAAGGTAAATGCATCATAAGGCATTTTATGTCTTGATTAGTTACATATTATTTTTATTTAATTTAATTGTCCCTATCTAAATATACGGTGGATCATACCTTACATTCAGCTTAAGATGCCTGAAAAGAAACTTGCTTCTTGCCAAACAGTATGTGATCTGTTGTCATGTGGTTCAATGGATTTGTTATAGATTATTTAAACGTACGATGTGTTTAAATGATTATGAGGTGAACGTCAGATATGCTATATAACCATTCGGTATATTAAAGTATGAACGTACTGAAATACAACTTAAAAATAGAGTGATGCATTCTTTTTGGCCGCGACTGTAAGGAGAAATTATTCTGTACGGAGGCCGGGCGCAGCTCTACGTACGGAGGCGAATCAGGTGCAGCCACACCAGCGGTACCGAGCGAAGGTGTGATGTGGCGCATTCTGGTTGGTCTCTGGACAGTGTTCGGCGTCCGCATAGAATAATTTATCCGACCGAAGTCCATTTGACTTCACAATATGTGCTGTTACTTGAAGATGCCATTTTTAAAATTCTGTATTAATTTATTTTTTTGTCCGCTATTTTACATTTCTAATAATAATAATAATTATTTATTTTGATTATGTTTAATGCACATGCTATACTTTGCTTCATTCAAGTAAATGCATATAATCTATAGCAACTTTGAGACAGTCGTTCTTAGTATGCTTGACATATTTGTGCTCTTCTACCATGCATACTATTCTTTTCTTTTTATTATTATTTTTTTATGGTTTTTATCATCCGAGACTATAATAGATTCAATTTTAAGATGAAGTGTGTAAATTTTTTCCATTTCACCTTACAGCAGCATGATTTTAAATTTTTCAATTTCTTTTGGAAAGTAGATGCGATTAAGAAACCTTGTTTTTTTGGTAATTTTTTAACATGAATAGATTTACCCCTATCGCAGAAAAACACTTGCGACGCTATTAGATTCAATCCGCGACAACCTTTATCATCCCAAGCATAATTGGACACTCTTAGTGCGTGAACATCTCAACAATAGTTTAGGTGTCAATGGCTTGATAATGGAGGCCCAGATGTCCAAACCAAGATCATTTCTGTCCCATCCCCTACCAGAATGCTCCTGCAGAGCATCAAAAACTTCTGAAGTTCAAAAACTTGTCAAAGGTCCCAATGGCGAAATCTTGTTTGGCGGCGAAGAAAGATGTCCCGAATGGATGGTTCGCGGCCTTAATTTGGTTCTTTCGGAATCCGGCAATTCGAAAGATGAAGGTGATGAGATTCCTGAAGATGAGATAGATTTGGAGAGCGAGCAGGATGTCGGCGACGGAAGCAGACCGGAATTGACCAGACCTATTGAGCAGGATGAAGAAATAGATCCAGACGATTAGGCCCCCAAAAAAATGACAATTTTCAAAACCCATTGGTTCAAAGCATCAGTAAAGAACGCCTTGAGGCCGCGGCGCCTGCTTTGATTCTCTGATACTAAGGATTGCTCACATAGACCCAAAAAATGAAAGGAATCTAATCATTTTTTCCTATCTTTTCAGAAGATCTGTGAAGCGCCAATAGCTGCATAATCTGTACATTTCTAACTCCATTCAGTTCAATTCATGGTGTAAGAAATGGTCATTTACTGGTAGGCAATTTTGGTACTGCCCTAATGCTGTATCTGATCCATAAATTGTTTGTGAAATTTATCTTTCAGGCTTTATGTAGAGGATTGAATACCTCCTCTGATATTTGATGATATTTTTGGCCATTTTTGAAACTGAAATAAAGTTTATATTTTTCTTATAGTTTTGGCCATTTGATTAGAATTTTGTAATCGAATTTTCAGATGAATGAAATAAATGATTAATCAATTAAAATTTATCTTAATTTAGATTGAATAATTTTGAGATTCATTTTAACTAAATTTGAATGAGAATGTCATACTTTCAAACTTTTGAATCTGATGATTAAAGCCATGTTTAATGTTTCATGATTATGTTTGTTACTTTCTTAGGCAATTGAGTCTTATTCTCTCGTAATAATGAGTTTTACTCATTCATACTAATTACAATATGCCAAATTAAATTATAATTTTAGCATTTTTTCTACACTTGCTGTGGAATTCTCTCGTGACATTATATTGATATGTGAACAATAAAAAATAAGAAAACTAAAGAGACGGAAAATAAAATCCCAAATGTTAGTATTAATTTTTGTTTATTATATTATTAAAGTAAAATTTAATTATTAAAGATCTCAAAACAGTTATATTTATTTGAAAAACGCAGCGTAGAGTCTGAAGATCAACTAGAATGCGTCATATCAACGGTATCGAGCTGCGATACCGAGTACAGGAATGACATGACGCATTTTGATTGGTCTCTAGGCGACGTTCGACGTCTGCACAGAATAACTAATCGCTTTTAGCAGAGAAAAATATAAATCCTGAACACCCTTCAAAGATCTTTGCACCAATTTATTTACTCTTAAGACAGAAATGGTTGTATTGTAGTTTTAAAATTAAAAATTTCATTCCATTACAATCAACCAAAGTGGGAAGCATTTGCACTTATAATGAAATAAATTAGCAGTTAAGATCAACTTGTCAAATCCAATCATACTGTTACTGTTAATAATCAGCTACATAATTATATAAAAATCTTTGTCCAAAATTACAGTAACTCACATAAGCACTTGACCAGCGCCTGCAGCCTTCTTTATGGTTTTGATATTGTACAATCCAGCGCTGTCATCTTAAGGAAAATGATGAATTTCTGCCTAAACAACAAATGTTGAACAGAAATGTTAGAAGCTCCATCCGAAGTATTTTTACAAATTTCCATATTCTCTCACTTCATGATAAAAAGGAGAAATTATTGTGTACGCAGTCCGAACGCAGAATTGTATTCGGATGCTGCGTACACACTGCTTATTTCACTGCGTATTTTTTAATACATTATGTTTTCTACGTATTTTTTGCGTATTTTTTGTGTATTTAGTGAGTATTATTTATTTGCTAATTATTTACCACAAAAAAATTATGTCTCAAAAAATACGCAACAAATTAAGCAGTGTACGCACATTCGAACACGTTCGGATTGCGTACACAATAATTTCTGGATAAAAAGAGGGATCAAAGCAAACGGACATTTGAGTAATTTAAGACCAGAGTGAAATTTGAATGCACCAACTATTTTAATTAATTGATTTCAAACTTGTGTTGGTTTTGATAAGAAATTCCATGGCTGCAATAACCCCGCCGAGAAATTATTCTGTGCAGAGACCGGACGCAGAATGATGTCCAGAGATCAATTAGAATGCTCCAAGTCAACGGTACTGAGCCGCCTTACCGAGCACAGGGGTGACGTGGCGCATTCTAGTTGGTCTTTGGACGTCGTTCGGCATTCACACAGAATAATTAATCCTCCAATTGAATGTGAAAGAAACTCTTATCAGGAATTTCTAAAAGAAATTAATAAAAAAAAGTCTTTATCACAATTCATTTTTAAATTGAGATTTGCGATTACAAATTTCTGACATTGAATGATAGAGATTTATAACCCAAAAAACAGAAATCTTATAAGGAATTCCTTTTAGGACACAGTGCTGACACAAAAATGTGTAGGAATTCCTTTTAGCTACCTGCAATTATTTTGAGATAGTGGCTATTTCTAAAAGGGCATAATCCTGGCACCCTTCATATCAATAAGCTAGTAAGCTTCTCTTCCATATACCTTCCCATTGATGGATGAATATCTTAATTTAGGTTGAATTTGCTGCTAATAGGGGCATATAAAAAGATTGCAGTAGGTGTTCAATAATGTCAGCTCAACAATCAGCTCAATACAAGTTGATTTACTTGACTAGCCAAACAAAACATGATCTTGAGGGTGTTTGTATGCGTCCATGTATTATTATTGTATGTGTTATATATATATGTATGCCCTAAGGAAGATAATCCATGACTAGATGGAATTGTACGATTTAGTGAGTTGAAACTATAGAGTGTCATCATGGATTTGTTATTATCTTGAGTCCTTTTATCTTTGAGTATGATATGCTAAGAGATTTAGGGCTAAGTTTTCAACCTTTTTTGTGAGTCCTCTCTCCTTGTTGGTTGTGGAGGAACGCACAGATTAGAGAGGAGAGATTCTTGATTCTTCTTTTACGTCCACTAGGGTGGTTGCTTATGCAGCTCCCAAAAATAATGATTCTGAACAACACTTATATTATTCCTAATTACCCATTAGAGCATTTCAAAGTTATTTAGAGTGAGGATGGAGACTTCTAGAGTAAGTTAATGAATTGGAGCATGCTCGTAGAGCCCTTGGTTATTTTCCCTTATGTGAGTATTTTTCTTCCTTTGATATTGTCAGCTTGGCTTAGTGATGAAAAACAAATCCCATTTGAACATGACAAACTTTAAATCATTTGAAAAATGCACTTGACCACATGAATATGAATATATTTTTATATTAATGTAATCACATAGCAATTGTCAATACTTCAAAATTGGCATTCACAATATCATAGATATATATCATTCAACATCATAAGACAGGCTAAATGTCTTGGGATTTCTATGTAGATGGAGAACATATTAGTCAACATCCATATAAAACCTCAAGTGAACTAATCAAAGATGAAAAGAAAAGTCTTTCCTAGTGGAGTTGCTAGAAATTTGATCGCTAAAAAACATAATCCTTTGATTCTCAAACTGTAAGGACTCAATATAAGGTTTTCTTGAGATAGATTAATGTATGAGAAAGTGGCAAGTTATAAACAAGAGGAGTATCATGTACAAAATAGTGATGGAATGGCATCACATCTTTTTATAACATACAACACTGACATGGCATGAAAAAATTCTATCATAAAGGGATGCCTAAACCTGCTTCCAAAAGTAAATTAAAGTAACGAGGCATAGCTATCAGCAAAAAAATATTTATCCTTGTCGTGAGAAATTAATAAAAAATACCTCATAAATGAATACGGTGAGTGGCATCACAAGTTGATTTCTTCTTGAACATGTAATGGAATGTTATTTCTCCTCAATCTTATATTTGCGGTTCAGGTCACCCAATTTTAGCTTCATCATCAACTAAATTAGGTTCTCTGGAGGATACCCGGACTGCTTTTACATCGCTCTTGCTTTGTTTCTCCTTGTTGGCAACTGAGCTTTCTCTCACTGGACGAACTAATCTCCGAATCATTTCCTCAGCTTTAGCAGGGACTGAAGTAGCTTTCCTGGTAAAAACAGACTTCTTTGAAAGAATCTTGCTTTCCCTGGTATTCACAGACTGTACAGACTTCTGCTCAATTGATTCAACTCTGACAAAAGCTACTTTTGAGGCAGTGTTAACAGAATCATTTTCCTCTTCACCCAAGCTTGTTTGATTCTTAGAAACAGTACTCTCAGGGGTTGCATCAGGAAGCAAAGCACGACGGCTCAGTCGTAGTTGTCCCTTTTCATTTACCTGGATCAAAAAAAGTATAAGAAACATAAAAGAGCATTAAGTCATAACTGCCTGGATGACATCCAAGAAAACTATTTCATTTTTTTCCAAGAAAACTATTTCATTTTTTTCCTTCCAGATTCCCTGATATGTTCTGAATTTGCATATACAGAATAAAGTAAATCATCAAAGCTTAATTTACAAAACCCGCCCATTATGCAGGTTTCATTTACAGGAAGACATGAATAGTGTTGAGGAATCATATTTAGAAATTCAATTTGACGGAACTGAGCACTAGAACTCGGATAAAATTATTGGTTTCAATAAAAAGTTTGGAATACTTAGGTTTAAGGAAAATTTTGTTCAATTTATACAAAAATGCCTCATAAATGCACTCTGAAGACAGTTAAAACACAAATATGCAAACAAACAAATATTCATAGATGCAATCATAGTTATGCAGATAAGACACCCTTCCTTTCACACACACTCTCTCTCTCTTCTAGAAATGCAGGTGCAATTATTCAGTTCTCAATGACACATTCAAATACTTAAACTAGTTAATATTTCAACCATATACATCTGCGCTTTAAGATAATGCAGAGCTTTGTTACCATCTTTAAGATAGTGCAGAGCTTTGTTACCATATTTATATGGTTTAATTCTAGGTTACAGAGAAATTGTACCTGCATCTTGTTAAAAGCATAGTTACGTAGTTCTGTTAAGCTTTCATTATTTAAGCATGGTTTTATTGCCATATTTATGGATTATATTGAAAAAGTGCTCTAATATTAAAATAACTAAATAGATTGTTAACAAGATGCAGGAACTATTTCTCTGTAACATAGATTTAAACCATACTTGTGGTAACAAAGAACTGCATTAGTTTAGCAAGTCAAGTCGAAGCTTCTATTAATGCAAGATTGCTTGAGCATTGGATAAATCACCAAGATTTATAAAACTTCATGAGCATTACAGCCAAATGATTTATAGGTTTGCAAATTGAATTAATTGACCTTGTGGACTCCTATTTACCTGCTTAGGAGGATCGGATTCAAATTTATTGACCAGCGCAGCATCCCTAGACGTCACGTGTGTACTAATAACACGCTCGTCGGGGCCCATCGGGTTTTGTGATTGCATTTATCCCTTGTGTACCTATGTGTATACAAACAACGGTGCACATGCAGGGGTACTTGAAATATTTTAGTTGTGCAGATAATTGTCATTTGAATGCACACAACATTTCATTTGAGAGTTTATACATGCCTTCTGTCCGCTAATACGAGTGTTGCGGATCCGGTGGCAGTATTATCTAGATGTCATCAGGCATTTCATCATTTAAATGTTGACTCCCCTTTTCTCATTCACCAGGGAGGTCTTTCTGGACTTTGAAGTCAATGGCCACAGATTTGGAAAAAACTCTTTTTAAAATCTTCAGTTTAGTGGACTTGTTACTTCCGGTGTTTGCGAACACCAGAACTGTTTTCTTCTTAAGTATAGGACTAAGAAGAAACTTTAGAACACCAGGAAATTTAGTTCTAATTTGTTCAAACATCTCTTTCCTTCTGCCAGGGGGTGTCCTTTTTCGTACATCAAGTTATCCTCAAACCCGACATACTTTGCAGTATTTTAATCACCGCTGTCATAAGTGATGTATGCACTTGTGTCCACAGGGGTTCATTGTACTTAATATTACCCACTGTTGTTATCCACAAATATTCATTTGCAGAGGACTGCTGTATCCACTACGACCTTCTGGAAGTATTCGTAGGAGACCCATTGTTCCTACATTATATCCACCTTTCACCAATCTAAGGTGGTAGGTGATGTTCGTGTGTAGGGACCGATCTTATGCCATCAATTAACAGTGCTGCCTTCTTCGATCAACAGGGATTGTCATAGGAGTTCATTACATCATGCTTATACACGTTTGTGATGTATTGCAGAATTCCTCACATTTGCTCACAAACATGTATCGAATGTACAACAGACCTCCTACAAAGGATCGTAGGCTTTTGCATTTGGCATAGTCACTTTGTATCTTGCTTGTGGACAATAAATTGGGTGTACCACGAGTCCTCCACAATGGCCCGTGGATACTTACATTTGTTATAATCATTTGGTATTTTGTTCGTAGATGAAACTTCACATACATGAAATACTTTTTTTTTACGACGGCTCGTAGGAATTTGGATTCGTCGTAGCCTTATATCTTTGCTTGTGGAGAATAGATGAACTTGTGTCCATAAAGGATTTACTACACTTACTATGTATCCACTATTGTTATCCACAAGTAATTTCAGTGTTCGTCGTGGAAGATAGATGAATCCATATGTTTGTTGACCTTCATTGCTTACAAGTATCACTACTTTGATCTATGAGCAAGTGGTTGTATGTATGAAGAGCCTTACATCATTGCCTGTAGGCACATTATAACATTTCTCGTTCAATCATCGCATGGATGTCAACTTGATTGGAGAGCTTGAGTCACTTTAATTTTATCACTTCTTGCCCCGACGATGATTCTTATCGAACATACATCCTCCATTTGATCTCGATTGAGTAACCATGAATGTCGATCAATACTTGGATGACGATAGTTTGCTATTTGACTGCGCTTTCATTTAATTTTTGTTTGCATGCCAAATCCCTCCACTTGCACATGAAGTGTCACAATTATTTCATGTTCCTTGTGGATTGTTCAAATCTCAAGTTCAAGCTCTTATTCCAATTTGAGTTCAGATTCAAGTGTAGTTTCTTTTCATTTGTTTGAACATGAGTCCAAGCTCAAGTTCGAGTTCAAGTGCACAAGTTCACAGGTCCTTTGTAATATTCAATCCAGTTCAAGTTCATAAGTCCCTTGTGGTCCAACTCAAATTCTTGTTTGAGTTCAAATGATCGAATCATGTTCAAATTCAACTCAAGTTGAGTCCAATTTCATTATCACTTGTTACAAGTCCAAACTTATGTTCGATTTCATTTAAATTTGAGTTCATTTAAGTTTGATTTAGGCTCGATTTTATGTTCAGTTTATTGTCCAAATCAAGTCTTCTTTGTTCAAAAAGTTCACGTCCTCAACTCCATTGTTCATTCTCATTTGAGTCCAGGTTCTTTGTTCTTTTGAGTTCAAACAGGTCCGAATGCAGTTATATTTTCACCCGAAATTTCAGCAGCCTCCCAGCGTCTTCCCCGCTCAGGGGAAAACTACGGAAAAACTGAGCCTCCCGCCGCGCTAGAGAAAAGCGTGTACGGTAGTTGCCCTCTTACGAGGACACCGCGGCCGTGAAATCTTTATCCCCCACCATGCCAGAGAAAGGCTGTATGGGTCTTCGGTACCTGTTACAAGAGAAAAGTAGTTGTGCGGGTACTTATGAATATCCCGGTCTCGCCGTAGACGCCACACCGGGTTCCCATCTCACCACGCTAGAGAAAAGCGTGTATGAGCGGTTTGCCGGCTCGACACGAACATCGAGAACAAGATTTTGGAGCCGAGGGGTTGCTCGTCTACCTCGTCGTAGGTGTCGCGCCGGGTTCCCTTCCCACCATGCTAGAGAAAAGCATGTATGGGCGGTCTGTCAGCCCGACATGCACGTTGAGGTAAGGCGAGGGATTAAGTTCAGAAAGTAATACCTTTGGCGGCCGATGGGCTAACAGTTTGGAGGGCACGTAAATCGAGGCAAGGGAAGAGGGAAAGCATCCTCTTTTTATTTATACTTATTTTTTATTATAATTAGCATTAATTAATTAAAATTAATTAACTAATTATTATTATTTTTAAGTAGTCATTTATAAAATAATTAATTAAAATTCATTAAAATTAATTAAAATGATAAGTTATAATTAATTTAAAATTAATTATAACTTATTAATTAATTTCAATAAATAATAATTAAATTTATAAATATAACTAATTAATTAAAAAATAATTATAATTAATTAATATAATTATAATTAAAATTATATTATATAAAATTTATCTCAAATCCCTCTGTTCGGCGGATTCACGGGATTTGGCCGAGAAGCGTGCAGCAAGGGAGAAAGTTACCTACACCACCAGCGAGCTCCGTTCTTCCTTCCGAACAAAATGCCGTGACTTCCTACCCGAACGGGAGGGAAAGTCATCGGGGAGCCAAGTCGGAGGAGGGCATGATCGGGAGAAGGTTACTTCACAACGAGTGTGCTCCCGTTCTTGCTTCTGCTCAAAATGTCGTTACTTCCGGTCGGACGGGAAAGTCGTCAAAGGAGCGGCGTTGAGCAGCAACGAAGGTGGGGGAAGAGCCACACGAAAGGGAGGAAGTTACCCTCACAGCTTGCGCCTCCCGTTGTTGCTTCCGATCGAAGTGTCGTTACTTTCGATCTCACAGGAAGAAGAGAGAGAGAGGGGGATCGCGAGAGAGAGAGAGAGAGAGAGAGAGAGAGAGAGAGAGAGAGAGAGAGAGAGAGGAAGAGAGCTGGAGCTAGAGCGGAGCGAGAGCGAAGGAATGGGAGGCTTCGTTCTTACACCCTTTTAACGACGTGAGGTCGTGAGAACGACGTGCAAGGAGGCGTCGCGAACGTGTCCGCGACGTGCGACTTGGGAAGGGCAGAGGGCAGGTATGTTGTTTATATTTTTTTTTTCCTTTTGTTTTGACATTACGGGTCAACAAAGATGCACTCTGAAGTGTGGAAACATTAAGCTCAAATTTTTCTAGAATTCTGACTTCTTAATTCAATCTTTTATACTATTCAAAATGAAGAGAAGGGAAATAAAATAGTAAAGAAAAAAAGTTACCATTTCTTATTTATCTCACAATCCCTCTTTTGTTGCTTCTAAAAAAAACTTCATGTCATCTTTTACATCATCATATTTGTAATGTTGTGTCTTTATCTCATTTTATCTATACACTCTTTTAACATCTACCTCGTGCATTGACGCCTACTTATTGCTTCTGGATTATTTGTCTTATTGTCTTCCACTTTCATCCATATGCAACATTTATTTTTCATCAGTTCACTCCATTTGAACTCCATTTGAATAGTTAACCGCACCTATAATTTGATTATTTTAATATTACAACCATGTATTCCTTATTTGCAATTTAAGTTCATTTTAAACTTGCCCCATAATAATCATTTATTAATCATCCCTACAAGTTCAAACAGATAGAGGCTTTGGATATATCTTATTGACAGGGCCATAGCACTTAGCATGTCCCATATAAGAGAATTTTATGTCCTGTCACGATCTTGTCATGTCCATGCCTCATAAATTCAAGTAGGTTCAAAGTTTTCTACTTCGTTACTAAAGTTCCATTGCAAAAACTAACAAAATTGCCATCTCTCTTCTACCCTAATGATGTCTAGGTCTACAACAGAAATGGAGGCCCAAATAACCGGCAAAGTTGCCAGAGAGACTAATTTTGCTGCCTCCAAAGAAAAAAAGTTAAAAGATAGGAGTTTCGGGCATTTAATGATTTAATAATGGAAAGCATCATCGAGTGTGCCTATTTGTTACAAAACAGAAATCTTTTGGAAACTAATGAAACACCAAGGGAAAACATTATGCCACCTTAGGATCTGCATATACACCATACGAAATTTATTTTGATTACTTGAATGCTTTCTTAATGATTCTTCACTCAAGAAATTTGGCAAAAAGTGTTCCAAAATTGCCTAAGTAGATGTATTAGAGATTGATCATGCAGCACATTTATATGCTATTCAACCAGTTTAATATTGTTAAATTAGAGTTGCACACTTTAAATCCTAGACCTTTGAGTCAAGCATATGTTTAAAAATTATCCAGTGAATGTTTCATGTACTCGAATCTGAACCATCCCCTGCACCATAAATTATTACACAACAAAAGCAGTAACAAACCTCAATAAGTTTTAAATCTAGGCGATCTCCAACTTTAAAGGCCTGTAAACATGAATAAAGTAAAAGTTAGGGAAAGAGACTAGTACATTTAAGCAAAAATGTATTAAACAAGACATATAAACAGTGGTACCTACATCCTCAGCCTTAGCCAACCATTCTGAACTAAGCTCACTAATATGACAAAGTCCCTGTTGAAGAGATTTATCAATATATATTGAAAGTTAACAGGAGTGTTGTAAAAACGAAGACAAGAAAAATGTACAAATTTAACTACTATAATTGCAATGAATAAATTCGAATTTAAATTGTTTCTTGAAATCACTAAAAATAATGTTATAAATTGGTAAGTTTTGTTGAAGTACACAATGCTCACTAATGTTAATGGAAGGCTAATTCAAATCTAAACACAATTTTGCTAAACATGGGTAAACTACTTAAATACATTCCATGGAGACTGCAATTTATGAAATCAAACTCAAGTGGCTGTGTTTTAAAAACCAATGATTGGATTAATTTACTTAATTCCTGAAAGCATATGGAAGTGAATGGATTTTGCTACCAAAAGTGAGTTCAAAGTTTGTTTGGTTGAAGCTCAAGCGAAGTGAGTTCTCATTCTTGAAACTTGTCTTCAAAAGCATGAGTTTTGATCTTGAGGGCTAGTAAGTTAACCCTCATACTTGAATTTTTGTATAAATATAATGTTAAGTTATAAGTAAATTTAAAATTAAGAAATTGAGAATTTTTTTAATATAGTGAAGAATTTGACTCTTAATAGGACATAATGAAGAAAAAAGATTCATGTAGCCAACCCCACACAGTGAGATAAAAGCTTAATGTTGTTTTTGTTGTTGTTAGATTAACATATAAAATAAAAATTGTAAATATTTATATACATAAAAGTAGAAATGAATTAAATAAGACTTATATAATTTAATGGAAGAAAAATAGACATAAATACCAAGTGAAAATACTTTTATGTATATATAGTTTATATGAAATAGTTAACATAAGTTATAATAAAAATTAGATGTAAACCTTTCCGTTTTCATATTATCGGATTTAAGTAAAAATACTAAGCTTATAATTTAAATAAACTTTTTAAAGAACAAAATAAAGGATATTTATCTGCTATGAATATTTGAAAGGATATTTAAACATTAAATTAAAGATTTGAAGTATTGAATAGCGGTTATGTATAAGAATAAAAGCAACAATTAATATAGCATAATTTATAAATTTAAATATTATTAAATAATGAGATAAAATTGTAAAAAAGAAAATTTATAATATAAATAAAAATAAATAACATTGATATTTCAAATGAATGATTATATGTCCCTCAACCTTATTTAATCAACACCTTCAGCACTGCGGCAAGCCTAACACTACATCTATCTCTAAACCATAATTGATTGATTATTTTGTATAGATCCATCACCTAACCATATTTTAAAATAAAACATATTAAAAAGGAACCAATCGTTTACAGAGATTAAATTAGAGTAGTCATTCAATTGAATTACTAAATACAGAATTAGATTGAAGGATGAACAAAATAAAAAGACGTAACAGCAATTTGATCAATGCCCATAATAAATAATGCACGGGAATAAGGATATAAGAAAATATAACATTTAAAACACAACATCGATGGTAAGCAGATGCACTGAACATCTAAAAATAGTTAAACATACAATGCTGTCCTACCTCACGCCCCGGTGCAATCTCCACAAAAACTCCATAAGGTGCAATTGATTTAATTTCACAATCCCTGAGTAATTAAACAACAGACAGAAAATGAGACTTGAATTTTCTTTATTAAATTTAAATGGGAATTTGACTCTTAACATAACACAATGGCGAAAAAAGATTCATGTAGCCGACCTCATGTAGTGGGATAAAAGCTTGAAATGGTTATTTAGCCTTCAGCAAGTAATGTATTGGGTGCATTTTCTACCTAAATTTTCTTGAATCTAAGGTTTATTGGAGCGAGATAAATTCTAGTTACAATTGATATCTCAAACTATATGGTATACTACAAGTAGTTGGCTCTTTGTTGCTAAGGAACATATGCACCATTCCTTATCGGCAATTTTCTTGAAGCTTGGTTGCCACTCCCTTCCGAAGTGGTAAATGGCTCTCCTGAGACACCTCTTGTGTTCTCTCCAATGGTTATGTCTTCTAATCCACAAGCATCGCTTTCCTTCGCAAATGCTATTTGTGATCTGAATGTTGCAGACTATCAATGCACCCCTTCCAACAACCCTCCACTCTTCTTTCAATAGATTTCATCAACTCTTCAACATAAACATCTTTCTTCTTTTCAAGATAACCCTGCTTTTTTCTTTTCTGATGAGGAGACTTCAGAACTTGTTAGGCCACTTGCTCTCTCAATTATTGGAAACTTCTCTGTGTCATCCAAATATGGAGACAATTAGCAAGTTTAGTTTGATTTACAATTGAAGGGTGACTACTCCATTGAGCTCATCAACTCCCCGGCCCAGCCTTGGCTGAACCAGCCCTTTGGCTGGGCAAAATCAGGGGCAAGATATGGGGAGATTTAGGTCCCTCTTGTGGGGCCCAGAGGAGCTATTATTCATTATGTAAGGAGGAGGAATCAAGAGGAAGCTTTTTAGCAAGGTTTTCTAATTGTGTTTATGTTGTATAGGAAGGTTTCTTAATTGTGTTTATGCTATTTAGGAAAGGTCCAATTGTGTTTATTGTGTGTGAGAGCTATTTAAAAAGGAGTTTTATTTAGGGTTATCATCATATATGAGCTGAGTTTATTTTCTAGGGTTGGGTGTGAGTTTCCTAGTGGAGGTTAGGATTTGTGGGAGAGTCGATCTACCTCTTGAACATTTTTCTTTAATTTATTTGCTATTTTTACTTCCAAGACACTTCAAATTGGTATCACAGAGAGGCTTTGGAGAGATGACAATAAAGGTGGATGTGTTGGAAGGCAAAATGGAGAAAATCAAATCCAAGATGGAGGAGAAATTCTCAACCATCAAAGGAAGGTTTTCAACCATGGAGAATCGGATGGAAAGCCGATTTGGAGGGTTGGAGGAGATGATCAAAAAGCTCATGGAGATGCAATCCAAAACTCCGCTGGCGGCTCCGATTGCTAACCCTAACAAAGACTTAACTGGGATTCCCTTGGTCGAATCTAAGGGAAAGGAGATCGGATGTAAGGAATTCGATGAGAGTTTCTTTCATCGAGAGCCACCTCTTTTTTTTTTTAATCAAGAGCCACCTCCTTGGCTCTAATAAGAGGCGAATCGGGGTTTACAATTGGGAGAACAACAAGGAGGGAATTTGGTGGTGGAGGTGATAGGGTGGCCAACCACTATGGGAGGCATTTCGGGCAAGGGGAATGGGCGATTAGGGATGGAGGGGGTTGAGCCAAGCCATGGGGATCGGGTCATGCAAGGAGGATGGAGAGAGGTGGAATTTCCATCCTCAATGCACGGGGGACCATTGGAAGGAGAGGAAGTTGGAGTAGAGATGCTAGGGTGAGGAAGATGAAGATGCCAATATTTGAAGATGAGGATGCCCATGGGTGGGTGTATATGGTGGAGAGGTATTTCACGGTGAATAGGTTGATAGAGGAGGAGAAAATTACGATTGCAGGGCTATGTTTGGAGGGGAAAGCCCTAGCTTAATTCCAATGGAGGGAGGCTAGATATTCGATCCAGTCTTGGGAGGTGTTTAAGGATTGCTTGATGGAACGTTTTCGAGCCAATCAGGAAGGAGACTTACACGAGCAATTCTTTGCCTTAACTCAGGAAGGGTCGTCATGGAGTATAAGGAGAGATTTGAGTTGCTATCAGGGCGATTAAGGGGTATTTCGGAGGCGACGTTGGAGGAAAATTTTATGAAGGGGCTAAAGCCCGACATTACGAGCAGAACCCCAATTATTGAGGCTAAAAGGGTTGAGGGAGGCGATGGAGCTACAAATAGCGGAGGATCGAAGATTGATGGAAAGGACAGATAGAAGATGAGTCACGGGAGGCTCCTCTAGAAGTGCCTTGACTTCCCTGGCAGCGAGGACCCAAACAATGCCATTTCAGCGAGAGGCACCGATGGAGAAGAATGGGGGACCTCGCCCTGGGGCCAACTTCAAGCACCTCACAAAGGAAGAGGTGCAGGACAAGAGAGCGAAGGGTTTGTGCTTCTGATGTAATGAGAAGTATGCACCAAGCCATTGGTGCAAGGACCGCACACTCCAGGTCCTTATGATTTGTGAGGAGGAGACCAACAACGAGGAGTTGGAGTACAAACTTCGAATGTAACTGAGAAATGCACAAGACCAAGCCAATCTATTTTTTGTAACTTATCCTTCGTAAAGGTTGCACCCAAACTAGCTTTAAATGCACCAGTCACATTTCCAATCTCCTCAATTTTTACCTTCTACGAAACTTAATTCTCATTTGACTAAAATCAACTTGTTTGAGCCTTCTTTGCTGCCAAAATCTCTAATGTCAAAGGCATAACAAAAAATCATTAATTTACATAAAATTTGAGTGATGAAAGAATACAAATTACAATAAAATTTGTGAATTCTAAAGATAAAGAGGCCAGGGAAACTCCTAGAAGATATTCTTTTATGCTCCATATCTACAACAGTTTTACTTGGAATTCTAGCAAATGAATGATGGAAGTTCTCACAGCATGACCGCAGGAAGGCATTTCAAGGTTATGACCATTTCTCTTTCTTCACTTTAGTAACCATTACTTGTAATGGGAAAAGACATGGCTTTGGCAAGTCGTGTTCATATAACATGGCTAACCCTTCAAGAAATTCTACAGTTGCTTAATCATGCTACGTTAAATTGCATAAATATACTGACTTTAGTAATAAACAGTTAACTGAAAAACTGAGTTCAACAGATTGATTTAACATTAAATTAAAAACCTCAGACCTGAAAATGTCACCAACAGTTGGAACCATTGTCAAATTAGCTATTATAGCTTTAGACTTCTCTAAGCTGGACAAATCCCTTGCAGTAATTTTTACCTGCAAAATTTAAAGAAATGCATGAAGCAAAATGCAATATCTCTATGCCTTGAGGTAGGAGACACTCAATAATATGAATATATTTCATATGATTATTACAATTCCATCATCTTGAGTCTCTATCCCTTCTACTCCAGTTTCCTCAATGATGCTTTTCACCTTTTTCCCACCAGAACCAATAATAAGATGAATTTTCTCCGGTTTGACCTACAAAATAATAGCAAACTTGGAGAAGGATGTGAAGAAACCAAAGTTAACATGCTACCTCTTCTAAATTTCAACACAAACATATTCCATGTAGATTAGCAAACCTTCATAACATGAATCAGTGGGGCATACTTGGAAAGCTTTTTGGATGGAGGAGGTGAGCACTTCAACATTTCATCTGTGATTATACAACCAAATATAAGAATGAAAAAAATTACATAACCACTTAATGATTTATAAAAGTCCATCAAGTGTTTGCCTCAAAACTAATCGAATTTGACTGATCATCAGTAAGACTAATTATGCAAATTAAACCTCAATTCTATAAATCAAGGTACAAATGAAATTTCCCAAATGGTTAGGGACTTATCTACAGTATAGGCCCCTAACTGTAAAATTCAAGCTTAAATTGGTTTTACCAGAACTTAATAAACCTAATTACGGTAAAAATAAAAAAAAAATCAGTTTAATTAGCTTTCTTAATTAAACTTAAGCCAATTAATATAACCAACAAGCTAAATTAATTATAACAGCTTTGAAATTAATTTAAATTTAATGGGGGTTATGTTTGGGATAATTTAAGCCATTAAAAAAAAAAAACCATAAATGGCTATGATCCAACCACAACTATTTATCTCCACCAAGATTACGGTAGTACTCACCCAAAGCCATAAACGCTATCACAACCCGGCCTGGATACTCGAACTAACGAAGTGGAAACTGACAGCCGGACGGTTAATACAATTACTACAAATACATATAACATTAATTTCTAACAATCCACAAACACCGAAGAGCCACTAATAAACAAATTTCCATCAAACTATAATACAATTACTACAATTACATATAACAGTAATTTCTAACAATCCACAAACTAGTAAAAAAATTTCCATCAAACTGCATATAAAATTTTCCACATACTTTATGCAGGCAAAACTAGAAAAAAAAGTCGAATAAAAGAACACTTGGACAATAGAAACCAAACTCAATTCAATCTAGATTGCAAACATCCAAACAAACACCAAAACAAACGAAACAAAATTATAAAATAAAAACACTATCCTCAGAACAACCGGCAAGCGGTTTCCTCACATGCAACGAAAAGTAGGAAATATATGATAAAGTGCTTAGGGCTTGCAAACCAAGGGTCCACCACAGCAATAATGTCCAACGTCCAACCAAACTCCTCCGGCAAATGTCTACAAATCAGCCAACAAACACTTCCCAATAGCTCAAGAAGAAGGATACAAGTTGAGTGGAACTTGCGTTGAGAAGAAGAGATTAGAAGCCAAGACGAAATAGAGAGGAGTAATGGATATTTGGAACAAGCTCTCAAGCTTTTCCAAGAGAAGAAACCCTCGGGTTTTTAGCAACTTATCTCAAGTTAATCAACAACCTCTTCATGACAAAAATAGCTCATATTTATAGAAGAAAAAGGGGAGCCAAACAGCCAACTGCCAGCTCCAACCGAACCAATCAGGTAAGGGGAAGAGGAAGACCAGTAGGCAACACAAAACAACTCCCAAAAAGACAACACAAGAATTGGGTAGAGGCAGCCACGAGAAAACATCCATGGAAGAAACCGAAAAGACAACACAGGAACCGGGAAGAGGCAGCCACGGGAAAACAGCCAGGGAAGAAACCGAAAAGTCAACACAAGGGACTGGAACCAACACCCAGCAAATGGGAGGAGAACCAGTCACGGGAATAGCACAAGGGAAAAATCGAGGGGACACAAGAAAGGGAAGAGGCAAGCTCCAACTCCATATAATGAGCTAAAAAAAGAAGAATACCTTTTCAAATTTATGAGCTAAGAAGTGCAATTATTCCTCTAAATAATGAGCTAAACATCAGCTCAAGTATTAATGAGCTAGCACCAAGTAGAACCCAAGTTTTCAGCTCAAACCCAATGCAGCCAAAGCCCAACCCGAGAGGCAGCAAGCAGCCCAAAGAACAAAAGGACCCAAGAAGCTAGCATACCCAAGGCTTGCAATGCCTAAGCACATCTTACCATGATCATTGGATGATCTCCATCATTGGATAGCATTAAAAAAAAACATAAAACACAACTATAATATTCAAATTACATCAAAACGAAAATAAGCCAAAATATAAATGCATCAATACTTAATAATCACATAAACCATCGATTACCTGATTGTATTTGTGCATCGTCTTCCATGGATTACCTGCTTCCAACTGTCCTGCCTGCACAGTGGAAGCGTGGTGGGCCCATAAACCACAAGTCCTTTTGAAATCATAGAGGACTGAAAGTATAGCCTACATATTGAATCTGACAGTGCATATGCAAGAAGTTCGTAATGTTTTTCACATATCACTACTTCAGAAGTATAATAAGATGAACCAAAGAGAATCCAATAAAAAAACAGATGAATTGTAGCCTAATTTGAAGTATATTGAGAAACCAAAAAGGATATAAGAATATGATTTAAAACAACTGAGAAATCGGGAAATACCTTTTGTGAAGATTTTAAGGAAGCATAGAACATAAAGAGAAGTCGACTGGGTGAAAGAATTAGACATTAAAACACAGTATCCATATCTTATTCAATTAAGGTATGTTTATTTATTCATGACTTTAAATTTTGACGACGAAACTTTTATAAGAAGGGGAGATTGTAATAACTGGTTCAGTTGAGCATGCTGAATGATTAATACAGTGGGTGAATAACAGGAGGAACCGAGCAAAGCCTTGACCCAGACTAAGCCGCCCATGTGCATGCACAATCCAAACAAGTCGGTTTACAGTTCTAACCGAAGGATCGTGGACGTGGGAGAAAACTAATAATTTCTCATGAGTAATATCTAAATTTCACTCGTTCCTATAGAAGAAAACCCAAGAGAATATTTCAGTCTAGAGGAAACAATAAAGAGGGAGAAGAAAGTGGAGAAGGAAGTTAAGTTTATATATTTTAAGTATATTATTTGGCAATATCCTCTATGAATGAAACCTAAAGGAGAGTCTATATTTAGTCTGAATGCAAAGGAAGAAATTTTGAGGAAGAAATGATGTTAGGAAGATTTGTTTTGTAAGTGATTTCAAATTTCCTATTCTTTTTCTTTTTCAAATTAAGAAAAATAATTACATAGAAACTATTTTGATGGAAAACTAACGATATCTGATTTTAGTAGGAAGAAAGTTGATGTGTGAAGAAATCTAGTGGATGGCCTGGATGATGACACCAGAAACAAGTGTTTGTACCAAATAGATATTCTTTCTTGTGTTACCTTGCACACTTGCTGCAATTGTTCAAGCTCATCTGACTGCCACTGCTACTAGGCTTTGCCTTCTTCCAATTAAACTTCTAAAATTGTGAAATGAATTTGTTGTGTGAATCCTGAGCTCTCGTACCATCACCACTCTTCCTCTTCTGAAACTCGCGTCTTCATTGGGTATTTTGCATGTCCATTTCTACCCATCTAGCTCTCTCTACTAATACAGTATAATCTTCAATCCCCAGAAGAACAAGGAGCTGCTTGATTGCATATTTCAATCCAGATAAGAATTGGTGACACTTTCTCCACAATATGTATTAACTGAGGAGCATATTTGGACAATGTAGTAAATTCAACACCATACTGCATCACTGATCTATCTCCTTATACTAATCTTTAAAACTTATCTTGCATCTGCCACCTCGCAGAAAGATGCACAAACTAGTCTTTGAACACCAAAGTAAAGTCATCCCACTTGATTTGTATGCTAGGTACTCCAAATTTATCTTGATGTTGACCTCTCCACCACATTTCAGCTTCACCATCAAGTATAAAGGTCGCCAATAAGACTTTTCTTTCATATGGAAAGAACATTCCCTCTAAAATTTTCTCAATCCTTAGCAACCAGTTCTTTGCCTCAATTGGTCTCTCTACTCCCTTAAATAAGGGTGGTCTCATATCCTGAAATAGCTTTAAGTACTTATCCATGGTCATACTACTTCCTGATGGTTGATTCATTGAGTCCTGAATCAACTGAGTCATATCTATCACATCTGTGTCAGTGCATCAGGGTTAACAACAACATTAGACACTGTCATTTTCACATCTTCTTCAAAATCATTCGGAGTCCTGAAATAAAATAAGATATTTTCACAAATTTAAAATTTAATCTTAAATCAATTTTCTTAACTTCAATAATCAAGCTAATGGCTCTTCCAATATGATTCATATCCTAATTGGGCTCTGATACCACTTTTATCACGACCCGTCCTGAATACTAGAACTATTGAGGCGGGGAACTAACAGTCGGACAGTTAATACAATTACTACAATTACATATAACAGTAATTTCTAACAATCCACAAACACTGAAGAGACACTAAAAAAAATTTTCATCAAACTACTAATAAAATCTTCCACATACTTAAATTTACATAAACCATATATTACTGGCTTCAGAATGTTGTTGTATATGAATCCTCGTGAATTTATGCTTAATGCAAAATAAAACATATAAGTTTCTTTGTCTTTCTTGTACATAATTTACTTCTCAATACATTTCATTTGTCCATTTCCATTACACATTTATTTCATTTTCATTTCCATTAATACAGGAGCACTGTCTAAATGAACCTATAAAGTTACAATCATTTTCATTTCCATTGTAACGTGCACGGGTACAATGCTTCCCCAATCAATACCATATCGGTTGAACTCCCGTAATTTGCATGCATAAACCTTTTCCATATTTTAATTCTTCCATTTCAGTTAAATTGTAATTTAGTATTTCATTTATATTACATTTTGTAGTAATCTATTTATTCATTATATGTATATGTATATATATATATATATACATCATAAACTTTAATAATTCAGCCAATCTCAAGTTGATTATACATTTAGCATTTAAATGTTTCATTCATAGAACAATGATTCTATAAAATAATAATTCATCATTCCATCTTTTTCTCTCCATTAATGCAATTCATGTAAGACATAATGATTGCAATATTTAAAGAAAATTGTAACATGAAAGAAATTAAATGGAATAAACTACTTAATTTATAATTACCCACTTTGATTCTTTTAAATCCTCGATTTGTGGAAATAACATTCCACAGTGCAACCTAAAGACACACACAATAACATAAATTATTATGATCTATAACTTTTATTAATGTCACATACATTTTTTTTTTTAATGAAGACTTACCTCAAGATCTCTTTTTGGAGATCCTTTATTGACTTCGACACTTCAAGTTTGTACCTTAGATTAATCAAATCCTCTACTGTTACAATTATATCTCAAAGTAACAGTAAAATTGTCAAATTCAAACTAATATTTTTTACCTCAATTATTGAAATCTTCAATTTCTTCTCTTTGAAATGAAGCATTCATCCCCCTAAATTTCTCATACATGAACTTTCTCGCACTAAAATCAGATACTGTTATTTTTCCATCAAAATAATTTCTATGAAATTATTTTCCTTAATTTGAAAAAGAAAAGAATAGGAAATTTCAAATCACTTACAAAAGAAATCTTCCCGACATCATTTTTTCCTCTTTCTTCCTCAAAATTTCTTCCTTTGCATTTAGACTAAATACATACTCTCCTTCAGGTTTCATTCATAGAGGAGATTGCCATATACTATAATTAAAATATATAAACTTACCTTCCTCCTCCACTTTCTTCTTCCTCTCTGTTGTTTCCTCTAGACTGAAGGTTTTTCTTGTGTTTTCTTCCATAGGAAGGAGTGAAATATAGATATTACGCACGAGGAGTCATTAGTTTTCTCCCACGTACGCAATCATTCACTCAGAAAAGCAAACCGACTCATCTGCATCACGACCCATGCGGGTGGCTTCGCCTGGGTAGCGGCTCTTCTCGATTCCGCCTGTTATTCGCCCACTGTATTAGGCATTCAGCTGGTTCAACAGAACCGGCTGAACCGGTTATTACCAAGGCAGTGTGAGTTGATCTTCTTTGTGACTTATCCATCTCAACAATCCTCCTAGTGGCTTCCTATGCTTTTCTTGGCACCATCTACCATTATGCCCACCAGCAATGAAAACAAATCTAAGGATCATGAAAACTTCTGCAACCCCAATCATGTCTCAAACTCAATCTTCCCCAAAAATTAGGCCATTACAAAGCCTGTTACCACCTAAGCCACAACTCATAGTCTCCTCATCATCAATATCTGACATCAAAATCACCAAAGGGTAGCATAAGCACAGAAAACAAATGCATGAACTCCATATCTCCGCCTCTACAAACACCTCCTCTGCTATAAGATGTAGAATCTCATAGAAAAGATACTAACCGCATTCTTGTTCAGGCAATCCATTACAAAACCACAAATCTTTTAAACTGATTGAATTGACGACACCATTTCATTTCTTTTGGGTACGACTAGGCTTGAAGATCACCCCTCCTACGTTGATTTTTGGTCTAGCTTGAGATTCTATTCCTTCCCCTGATCTTTGATCTGAATACTAGGGGCATTGTAATTTCTTGGCTAGCAACTGAGCATGGTCAAAGCTTATTGTGGCTCTTGGGTTACTGTTGATAAACAATTTCTGACATCATTATGAACTTTATTTTAACTCAAACTACTGCATGATTGAAGTTTTTTGTGTTTTATTGGACTAAGTTTTATATTGAACGATTATTGAATAATTATCTAAATTGACTCTATATTTTTAGTTCTCATCAAAAGTAATGAATATGTGTTAAAATTAAGTATTTATGACCAATAAACTTTTGTGTGCTTGTTTCATAACGTATGGTATATCTTCATTAAAAGCTCTAGACACTAAGACATCCTAGATCATGTTGTAGCATAACACCAACATTGTGAACATTAACCCATACCCCCCTCGTTAGTACTTCATGCCACAAGCAGTTGTTCACTAAAAACATGGACGTCAGGAGAGTCTTATTATATTAATCTTTTTTTTTTTTTGTCTTTCTGAGTTAAAAGTTAATGGATCCTACTAAAATGGATGCTAACCATGGTGTGAGAAATGTAAAAGAAGTTTGTGTGGCATACCATTACTATTTAAGTTTTGAAACAGATAAAAATAAAATTTACGTTTTGGATGTTTAATAACAATAAAGAAAATTTTTAGTAGTATACCATTAAACTTCTCTAGCAAAAAATAATAACAGTAAAACACGTGATAGCAATACAAACATCATAAATTGCTAGCGTTTGAAGTTTCTAAAATATTGAACAAAAAAGGTTTAGTGGTTGAAGAAATGTTCAAGTCAGAAGCATAACAAGTTAGTTGTTTTTTTCAGCCCGTAATTATTAAATTTCAGCCACAACAAATTCATTAGATACAAAAAAAAAACCAGAAAAAGGAATGCACAATTAAGTCAACTGACCCCACGAAAAATACAGAAAAGTAGTGGTTTTCCATCAATACTGGAATAAAGTGTAGCACTATTTGAAAGTTCGTAAACATACAAAGGACATGACTTCGCCCATCTTTTGCTTGCACAAGTGCTTTTTCCATCACTGGTAAAGTGATTCCTGCAGTCTGCAAAAATCCAAATGGAAGATAAACATCAATAATATAATAAACATCTCAAAATAGGCAGATTTCCTACTAGCCATGAAAGGAAGCATCATCTTTCATGAAGTGCATTTCCATTGTAAAATTTTGACTACAATTGGTACCAAAAGTGAAACTATAACCTTTATGTCCATCTGGAAAGCAGTAATTCCATTCTCATTACCAGCAACCTGAATAATTACATTACTAAATATATTAGATAACATGTTAAGATAATTTAACAAATCTCAAATTTATTTACTTTAATCATATATTAATAAACATAATAATGATGATAAAAAAGTACAAGTATAATCTAACCTTGAGATCCATGTCACCGGATGCATCTTCAGATCCACTAATATCAGAAAGTATCAATGGTGTTCCATCTCCACCAAATTCTTCAGTGTCCAAGACTAAACCCATTGCTATTCCAGCAACAGAGCATTTAACAGGAACTCCAGCATCTAAAAGTGCTAGACAACCTCCACAAACTGAAGCCATGCTGGTGAATACATTGAAATGGCCTTATTCTTTAGGAAAAAAAAGTCACAGTAGAAGGAACATGCCAGAGAGACCGAGAGGAAACCAAGCACAACTCATTATTTAAACAATAAATCACCAGAACATATAACTACTAGAATGAAAACAAAAGTTACCTGGAGGATCCATTACTTTCAGTAATGGTACTTTCAACACGAACAGTGTAAGGAAAATCCTCTTCAGAAGGTAAGATAGGTTCCAATGCTCTCTCAGCAAGCATTCCATGACCAATCTCCCTCCTGTTAGGTGCACCAATTCGCCCAACTTCACCAACACAAGAGGGGGGAAATAAGTACTGCCAAATGGACCATAGAAACACCATCAAAATCAACAAAATATTAAATTCAGAGAGAAAATCTATCAATAAACTAAGTTCAATTTTCAGGTTAAAAGTAACCGTTAGTGAATGCACAATTTTCCCTAAGAACAAGAAACAGTAATAGATACTTCATACAATTCATATTAACATTATAAATTTAGCATTCTTCATACTGAGCTAAAACAAAGCTTTGTTTGGCAGTGAATTAGGAGGATCATCATACAAATCATATCATATAGTCAGAAGCAAATATGTGCATTCAGAGAAATTATACTATTGAGTGACGCTAATTTCCCATGTTATAAGTGTAGGATAGATGTCTTCGAACATTAACATAACTTGCAATGACCAAGATCAGACCGGAAATAAAGAATAAAAAAGGGGGCAGAAATACACTTGACCAAAGCAAATAGGATTGGTACATAGATTGCAAAGAGGAGGTGGGGGTTGGGTTGAACAGTTAGTAATTAGGGATACCAAGAACATCTAAAAGATTTTTTAGACCTGATACAATCATTTCAGCATGTAATTTATGTGCTTCTGTTCCAGCAATGTGCAGGCAGCCACCCTTTGCAATCTCAAACCAGATTACATTAGACACTTGGGCCAGTTTGGTTGTTCGTAAGTCAGAGGAAGTGGCTCTTCTTACTATAGAAAGTTAAAAGTTGAGAAAGCCACTCTTTAATTGTTGTTTGGTTGTCCAGCTAGGAAATCACTTCCCTTAATTCAATTGTTTGGCTGTGGGATGTGAAGTGTCTAATAAATATAATAAAGCAATTTTATATACACATATGCATGCAATATAGATTCATAAATAAAATCATTTATAGAATATAAATCATGTTATATTATAACAATATATTAATATAAAATACTCTCCTTTAATAAATTATAATATTACGAAAATAAATTATAACTATATAATTTTAAAAATTTACACTAACAAAAACTGCCATCAGAAAAGTAATTAAGAAAATACATTGGAATACCATAATATGAAAAGTAGAAAATAGCATCCATCTAAATGATAAGAACCAAGCCCTCAATCAAATCAAATTAGCTTCTGCTAAGTCAAGGACACCAAAGACATCAATTGAATTATTGCATCTGACTTGAAATCTAGTAAAGTTGGAAGAGTGAAGAGTTTTTTTTTTTTTTTTTTTATGCCACTTCTAGAAAACACCATCTAAAACCTTTTATGCACTAAACCTGAGAATCTTATGAACGAATTTTGAGACTAATTAGAGCTTGAATCATCATCAACCTCACTTTAAAATAATAATGATAACATGGGGTGCTGGCGATGGAGTTTCAACAATATTAACGTGATTTGAAGCATATGGTGATGAAGATATTGCGTTTAAAGATCAAACTAATATAAAAGCTTAAATTCTCCTGTTGACAAAACAAATCATCACTTAAAAGCAAATTTAACATTAAATATCAATTCAGTAAGAGATCAACATGTACAATCATGACTAGCAAAAACAATTATGAAGCAAACCTGAAGATAAAACCTCTTTGCCTCTTCTGTGTCAACAAGATTATCAATCCTTTGTGCCATTTGCTTGTCTCCAAGAGTAACCACAGCAAGAGACTATAATAACATCCATAAAACTCAGAATCAAAATGATGTTTCATAAATTATGAAAAATAATTACAATTTTATGATAATCATAAACTCTGTAATACTACCGTTGCCTGTTCCCAAGTCCTGGAGGGTTGTGTTAGGTAGTCGACAACTAGCATAAAACTTGTTGAATAATCATGACATGAATCTTTTAATACAATGTGTTAATTATAGGGCATTCCCTGGTAGTGACGCGCTGTATGGCCTGAATACAGTGAGAAGTGAGCAACGGCCGTTGCACCGGCGCTCGGTTGCAGTGTTAAATAGGCAAAGATTCCCACATCATGGACAAATGTGGGCAAGGAAGCTAGTCCATGAAACTAAAATTAGGAAATGATCTTGAAATATAGGTTCCCTTAAAGGTAAATTAATGGAATTAATAGATATTATGATTCATATGAAGATAAATATTCTATGCATTCAGGAAACTAAATAGCTTGAACAAAAGGCCAAGGAGATTGATAGTTTATGATTTAAATTAATAGAATTGGTGTTATTATAGATAATAGTTTGAAGAATAATGTTGTAAAAATTAATAGAATTAGAAATAGAATTATAGCCATAAATATTGTTGCTGATGTTGTGATTATTAATATTATAACTATTTATGCTCCTCAAGTAGCTTAGGATATGTGTTCAAAATTAAAATTTTGGAATGATGTAGAAGAATTAATACAAAAGATACATCTTAAAGAAAATTTTTATTTGAGGAGATTTAAATGGACATATTGGTAGAGAAGTTGATGATTTTAAAAGTATTCATGGTGGCTATGAGTTTGGAGTGACTAATGAAGGTGGTAAGATCATATTATATTTTTCTATAATTTACGACTTTGCAATTGCTAATACTTTATTAAAGAAAAGAGATTAACATTTAATCACTTATAAGAATGGATATAGTAAAACTCAGATTGATTACTTTTTTATATAAAAAAAAGATCGTTTAGATTGTAAAGTTATTCCGAGTAAGAGTTTATGTACCCAACATCACTTATTAGTTTTGAACGTTAAAATGAAGGGGCAGAATATAAAAAATAAATTAAAACATTGTTATAGGATTAGATGAGGTATTTAGAAAATATTAATAAAAATATTTTTTAGAATAAAATTCTAGATCTCAAGATTTTATTTGTGCATGAGGAAGTTAATATTATGTGGGAAAAAGAAGCTTGTGATATTAAGCATGTTGCAAAAGATGTGCTTAGAGTATCAAAGTAAAAAGCTCCTAATAGTAAAAACAATAAGTGGTGGAATCAAAATATGCAAGAAAAGATTAAAAAAAATAAGAATATTTGTTACAAAGGTGGATGAGATATTTTGCTAAACTTTTCAATGAAGATTATGAGAATACAATTGACTTTAGTGACCTTAACATCCTAAATGAAAATAAAGATTTTTATTTTTAACGATGTATTAGTAAAACCAAAGTTAGAGAGGCTTTAAAAAAAATTAAGTGTGAAAAAGTTGTTGATCCTGATGATATTCCAACTGAGGTGTGGAAACGCTTAGGAGATGAAGGAATTTCTTGGCTTACTAAACTTTTTAATATTATTTTGAAGACTAAAAAGATGTCAGATGAATGGAGAATGAATGTGTTGCCTATTTTTAAGAATAAAGGTGATGCACAACATTGTGCAAATTATAGAGGAATTAAGTTAATGTGCCATACTTTTAAACTTTGGGAGATAGTTATGAAGCATAGGTTACAACGTGATACTAATGTTTCTCAAAATCAATTTTGATTCATGCCGCATAGGTTAACAATGGAAGTTATACATTTATTGAGAGGTTTGATGGAGCAGCATAGAGAGAATAAAGAGGATCTTCATATGATATTTATTGATTTAAAGAAAGCATATGATAAAATTTCAAAATAAGTGCTATGGAAAGTTCTAGAAAAGAAAGGAATTAATAATGCTTATATTCAAGTCATTATGGATATGCATGTAGGTGCCGTTACTTGTGTTCAAACAGAGTGGTCTGACAAAGTATTTTCATATTTTTGTTGGATTACATCAATGATGAACCTTAAGCCCATATCTTTTTGCTTTAGTCATCAATATTCTCACCAGACATTTGCAAGAGATTGTACCCTGGTCTATGCTTTTTGCTGATGATATTCTTCTTGTTGATAAGACTAAAGAGAGAATTGAAGGTAAACTTGAATTATGGAGGTTAACCTTAGAGTCTAAAGGTTTTCGTTTGAGTAGATCGAAAACTGAATATATGGAGTCTAATTTTAGTATGTATTATATCCAGTGGAGGGTTTGTGACTTTGGGCGATCAAGTCATTAATAAGAGTACATGTTTTAAATATCTTGGGTCTATTGTTCAGAATGATGATGAAATAGATAGGGATATTATCAACAAAATTCAAGTTGGATGGTTGAAGTGAAGAAATGCATCCAGCTTGTTATGTGATAGAAAAGTCCCCCATTAAACTTAAGATAAAATTTTGTAAGATTGTGGTGATACCAGTAATGCTTTATGGTGCAAAATGTTTGCCATTAAAAGAGAAGCATAATATTAAGTTAAGTGTTGCAGAGATGAGGATGCTCAGGTGGATGAGTGGCTTTACTCTTAGAGACAGGATACAAAATGAACATATACGTGAAAAGGTTGGAGTAGTTCTAGTGGAAGATAAAATTAGAGAGAGTCGTCATAAATGGTTTGTTTACATAAAACGACGGCCCAGTTAGAAAAGTGGATTTATTAGATTTCGCTTATGTTAAGAAAGCTAAAGGTAGACCTAAAAAGATTTGGTTAATAAAATATTAGAAATGACCTTTCCTTATCAGATTTAAATGAGAATTTGACTCTTAACAGAACACAATGGAGAAAAAAAATTTATGTAGTCGACCTCACATAGTGGGATAAGGGCTTGATGCTATTGTTGTTGGTTCGGTCTAAACATGAAAACAACCTCATGATAAGGAAAACCTATTAAAACATTAATGACATGTTGCCAACGATAGACCATGGCAATAAGACAAACCTTACAGGGGCTCGCCTAATAGAGTTGATTACATGTCCCTTAACGAAATATCCAAGGAGTCTATCATCCATGTGGAATACGTCCCTCCTACAAAATACATCAAACTCTTGAAGTAGCCACTGAAGCTAATCTCCTATAAATCCCTGCCCCACCCACATACACAGTGCCTAAGAAAAACTGATAACATTTGGTAAGGCTTGTTCCATGCATGTAGCTAGGGGTATAAATGAATCGAGTCGAGTCGTGTAGTGGTCTTATCGAGCCGGATCATCAATTAGAAAGTTGGCTCGAACTCGAGCTCGTCCCACAATAAACGAGCTTGAGCCGGCTCGTGAGCCTTGACGAGATTTTTAAAATTTAGGTGAGATTTAAAAATATTTAAATTTAATAAATATGTTTAGCATTTATTATTAATTTTTTTAAATATTTAAATTTAATAAATAAAATAAAATTATTTAGAAAATATTAATAATTATTCAAACCGGCTCACGAGCCGAGCCTCATCAAGCTCGAACTCGAACTCGTTTACTAAACGAGCTCGAGTTTGTGCTAGACTCATGAGCTCGATAAGCTCAGCTCGCAAGCCCATAAACGAGTCGAGCTCGAGCCGGCTCGGCTCACTTACACCCCTACATGCAGCAATAAACGATTCAGACTCCAACGTCACCATTTATTCAGATCACAACATAATGGTGACAGTACCACAAATCCCTTCTAATCACTCAAAGGTTAGTCTTTATTTGAGTGACATAAAAACATATGCATATAAAAAATTGGTAAGTATAGAAAATTTGAGAAAGATGGCATGGTTGCTCAATGCTCCAAGCGGCTACCACTCACTTTCGCCTGAAACATGAATAAGGGTGCCAGAGTTCAAAACAGACCAAATTACACAAGAAAATGTTATATCAATACCATTAAGTTGGTCAAGTTCTAGCATCTAATGCTATTAAGAACAAACAACTCTTCTAACTGAATGACCATACGAAAAATGTGTCAAACCACATGCAGTTCAAGCTCTAAAACTAACAAGCCCCAAATGTCCATGCTCCTTTGGGCTACTCAGTCCATTTGATAAGGCCAAAAGTCCACTGTCAACTAACTACCACAAAATTAGTCTCCATACCATATCTTTCACACATGATATATAGACACCACATAGAATGAAGAAACTAATGATTCCTAACTATGTCTCCACCCCTCCCTATGTGAAAGCAAAAACCCCACCCAAACCTTGTCCTTAATTGGCCCAATCCTTCTAATTATTTTATGATCCTTGCAAGACCTGAAGAGCTTCTATGAGCCCAGTTGGTTGAGAGGTATTAACTTCAATCTCTGAAGGGGAATTCGAAGATTTGAATTCTTGAAATAAATAATAATAATAATTTTTTAAAAAAAATGAGCTCCAGGTTAGGCTGTCAAAATGCATCGAAATAAAGCTTCCAAAAGTAATTAACTATGCAAAACCTTCTTCATGTCATGTGGAGAAGTCAATAAGATTAAAAAATAACGAGATATAAGTCTATCATATATGTCGCCACTAGTAAAACACTAAACATTCTTATTATTTAAATCAAAATTAGAGAAGAGCTTGGAAATCTTTGCTTGTGTTCAAAATATCTGGAGTATAGTCACAAGTGTAAAACAAATCAAACTAACCAAATAAAAAGAGCCAATGAAAATGACATACAATGTGTAAACTAAACTCATATTGACTACACATGCTACTCACCTGTGTCTCTCCACGAGTGAAAAGCGCACTTCCATGTGCTCGTGGTAGTACTCCACATTGTGCATTGATTGAGCGAATCTCCGAAGGAATTCGACCATCACTTCTTCTACCCCCCTATCATAAATAACAGAGATCGGATCATAGCATTCACTTCAATTTCTTCTACATATGCTTTTCAAAATAAAATTTATCAAGATGGATAATACATCTTATATGACATGAATTCGAAAAGGCTTTTTTCCCTCTTTCTTCATCAGGGGTAGAGCTCTACGATCCCTTGCGGTTAAAGTCAAGGATTCCAACAATCATTATGATCTAACCAAAGAATATCTCTAATAGTTTCAAGGACATAAACGAGGTCAACCATGATTCATATGTTTTTCCCCTAGAAAATACATGCTCATGCAATTCCTCAACTAGATCATCTAGGGAAGGTAGTCGAACAGAAACTTCTCCACATAAGACCTAGGTTGTTCACCATGAGTAGGATAAGAAGCTTAACAAGTTCTCCCTCAACATTTCTATCATGAAGGGCTGAAATGGATGATAATCAAAAGTTTCAGTTCTCTTTTCATTAAAAATTAGTTGATGATCTATCATTTCACCCTTTTGCTCTAATTATGCCAACTAGACAGATTTTACATGTTCATTTCTAAGTTAAGCAAGCCAATTTGATACGCCAATAAACAAAGTCTGTGCAAGACAAGCAGAGAGTTATATGCTATATGAAATGTAAATTGCAAGATTAACTTCTAATAGTTCAAAGGCAGTGCACAGAATTATATTCAATTGGTTGTCTATAGCATAACGGCGGCCACAAGTTCCAACATGAGTATGGTATTATCATCAGGTTTATAAGCTAGCATTATATACGTAAAACTTCCCAAAAATTTTGAGCTTATGCAAGGCACTAAATTTGCCAAATAATAAAGATTTATCCTTCAGTTTTAAGTGGAGATTAGTATTAAATCATAGAATGCGAACAAACGTTTTACACATTATGATGCAAGCAAACTAGAGAGAAGAGACAAGTTGGAGAACACCAGGACAAAACATAAACCAAACTCAATTCAAATGTAGCTTGCATACATCCAAACGAACTTCGAAGAAACAAAAGCCAAATCGAACGTAACAAAATAAAACCATAAAAATGCTATCCTCAGTAAAACCGTCTAGCGGTTTCCTCGCATACAACGAGAGTAGAAATATATAATAAAATTGTGCTTAGGCTTGCAAACCAAGGGTTCACCATGGTTTAAAATTGCGCAATATGAGGTGAGTTGAACTATATTTCATGTTGTCTTATTATTGAGATATTTTGATTTCACTTCATATCTTATGTTTTTTATGTTTTATATTATTCACTCATTAGTATATAACAAATTTATCATTTTATATTTACGTAATCTTTTGATTTTGAGGCTTACGCCTCAAAACGCCTTGAGGCTTAAGCCTCGCCTCACAAATGAAAAACGCCTCAATACCCGAATACGCAATTTTAAACATTGGGGTTCACCACTGCAAAAGAGTCCAACGTCCTACCAAACTCCTCCGGCAAATGTCTCCAAACTTTAGCCAACATACACTTCCAAAGCTCAAGAAGAAGGATACAGATGGAGTGGAACTTGCGTAGAGAAGAAGATGTTAGAAGTCAAGACGAAATAGAGAGGAGGAAAGGGGGTGGAACAAGCTCTCAAGCTTTTCCAAGAGAAGAAACCCACAGGTTTTGTAGAGACTTAGCTAAGAATTTTCAACAACCTTTTCCATCTCAAAACAACTTAAATTTATAGGCAAAAGAAGGTAGACAAACAGCCATAACACCTACAACCAAATCCAATCAAATTTGGGGAAATGAAAGGCCAAAAGACAGCAAAACAACAGCATGAATACTGCACAGAAAAACAGGGAAAAAGTCCACGGAAATCCCCACCAACAGCCACGGGAAACCAGCCAGCAAGGGACCCGAAAAGCCAGCACAAGAGACAAGGCAACAGGTCACGGAAAACCAGCCAGCAAGGGACCCGAAGAGCCAACACAGGAGACAAGGCAGCAGGCTCAAGATACCAGCCAGCAAGGGAAAACCGAGAAGGCAAAAGGAGGGGAAGAGGCACAAGTCCACTCCAATAAACTCCTCAATAATGAGCTTGAAATAATAGCATACCTTTTTAATTTAATGAGCTAGGAAGTGTACTTATTCCCCAATCATTGAGATAAACTTCAGCTCAAACATTTATGAGCTAACACCAAGTAGAATCCCGAATTTTGAGCTCAATACCAAGGTGCCAAGGCCCACCCGAGAGCAGTAACATCACCAAACCGAAAACAACAAGCAACCCAAGGACAAAATGGACCCAAGAGCAAGCAAGCCCAAGGCTTTCCATGCCTAGCACATTCCTACCATGATCATTGGATGTCCAACCATCATAGGATAGCTTAAAAAAAACATAAAACACAACTAATATTGTTCAAAATACATTTAAACAAAAATAAACTAAAAATATGAATGCATCACATTATAGCCCTAACAGAATAAATAGCTCTTCCTCTGAAGTACGGAGTAGAAGTAGAAGTTGAATAAATAAATTGTAAGTCTGTTGATGCGGACATCCAACCGTCCATGCCTATCCGAGGAGGAGCAGAAGATCGACGGCCGAGATCCCTTCATTTTATCTTATTTTATTAATTGTAATTTTTATTTAATTATGCATTTTTCTTTTTTACCCTTAAGGGATTTGTTTTATGTAAGACCATGGAGCAAAATTATCTTTTAGTTTCTTGTAAGGCCAATATATAGAAGCCTTTGCTCTTGTATTAGAACATGATGGATTATTAAAAAAAAAAAGAATTGGAGCCTTTGTCTTTATCTCTGTGTGAGTTCTGGAGAGGAAAAGTCCTATGAGAGGACAATCTTATTTCCACCAGCCACGGGATGGATCCGGGCTCGTGGATTGAAGTCCCTCAGGGAGGGTAACGTAGTACCCACCAGCCGTAGGAAGAGTCCGGGCTCGTGGTTTGTATCGTTTTTATTTTTTTTTTAATCCGTCCTCTCATCTATAGTCTCCATCATTCACCATCCATTTGTATTTTATTTCGTTTGATTTTGATTAACTTTTCTTTTGGATCAAACAACAACCCCTCCATCTCCATAGTTGGCCGACCACCTCACCCCTAGCCTCTTCCCTCCACAAATTTTGAATTTTGAATTCAAAATAGCCTCTTGATTACCTTCCTAAATTAGATTTTGTTAATTTGGAAAATCATTCAATTTTGAATTCAAATAAATTTGAATTTCAAAACATTTCCAATTTAATAAATTCGACATTAGGGAGCCTCCTCAAATTACTCTCAATCTGAAATTAATTTCATATTTAATTCGCCCCATACCATTTAATGCTTGATCCACATACGTTGTATGTGGACACTTCTCCTCCCTCTCCATATGGCCGGCCCCTTCTCTCACCTCCTCTCTAATTAATGCCTCTCCATTAAGGCCCTCAATCAACTGTCAATCACCCCTAATAACCGCCAATCCCCATCCCTCATCAAATCCTAATTAATCCCTTCCCAATTAAGGTGACTTGAAATTCAAATTTTCCCTCCACTTCCCCCCTTTTTTGAAGTTTGAAATTAAATTCATATTTTAATTTTCAAATGACCCCTCCCCCCATATCCGTTCTACATCATCTGTTCTTATTTCCTCTCCTTTACTGGAAAAACCACACCATAAAAAAAAGGAAATTGTGTTTTGGGTTGCATGTGTGAGGGAAAGGGGGGAAATGGTGACCAGAAAGTACAAGGTGATAACCGGTTAGGAGTGATGAGGCGGCTCTTTTCATTTTGAAAAGGAAAATTGGTTAAGCTAAAGTTTAAATTAAGCAATAAGTGTGAATTTTGATTAGGGGTAGTAGGGATTTGATTGAGAGCTTGTTTGCTTAGTTTTCGATTACCATATATTGGGATTTGAATGAGGATTTCTACAAATGTGGAAGCCCAGGTTTTTCAAAAGAGGTGATGTAGACTATGTATGCTAAAACCTAAAAGATAATTGTGGATGGATAACCGATTGGTAGAGACTAATGTGTGCGAAGGCATAGGAAAACTAAATTAACAATAGTGGGAGGGAGGGAGGTGGCACAGGAGAGAAATAGTGACCCAATTGAAAGGGAAGCTATATGGATGGATCAGGAGCAAAGAAAAACCATGAGAGGGGCCATGGTAGTGTGATTAATAGGACAAAATAAAGAACATGGAGATAAATAATAACAGCAAAAGAAAAAAAAAAGTCAACTTAATCACTAATGAAAGGATGATATTGAGCAAATCATACTATTAATTTTTTGTGGAAAAACAAAGTAGAAAATTTTATTTTGAATTTTATTGCTATTATGTATAAAGTGTTCTCCAAAAGTCTTACAATAAAAATAAATTAAAGTTATTTACCAAAAAAAAAATACCAAGAGGGACCAACACCAAGAAGAGAAAGAGAAGGCATATGAATCTAAAGGACATAAGAGGATCAATCCAACACTTGGAAATCTTAATTTGTGTGCACAAGGATCCCTATCAAATTTGGTTGACTTATGAATCCCACAATCATTCAACACACTCTCAAACTAAATGATATAAATCTACAATTTCAAGTTTGCTTGCAATATGCTTAAACGTCGTGTTGCAAAATCCTTTCGTGAGAATATATGTTGATTTCCTGTTGGCAGTTATAGAGTGCATATCAACTCACTATCCAGTTTTTCTTTTATGAAATGTTCATCCATCTCCACATGCATGGTACTAATATTTTATATTAGATTATAAGTAATGTTGATGAAAATTCTATTATCACAACAAATCTTCATTAGCCCATTCCATTAATCTTGTAAATATTCCAAGATGATTTTGATCCACAAAGTTCCTAGATTCCTTGGGTAATATCTCTGAATTAAGATTTAGTACTAGATCTTGAAAAAACATATTGTTTCTTGCTTGTCTATGTTATAAGATTTTCTCCTGAAAATATACAATATTCAGTTGTGGATCTTCTATCTAGTTGCGGTCCTTCATAGTCTGAATCAGCATATTCATCAATTTATAAAGTATCTTGCTTTTTATAGACTATTTTTTTACTAGGACTTAATTTAAGGTATATGAAATTCTATAAGTAGCTTGAAGCCTTGAATGTGAGACTCTTTGGGTTTGTGCATAAATTGACTAAGGAAACTCCCTGCAAATGCGATGTTTGAATGGGTGTGATATAAATAAATCATTTCTTCAACTAATATTTAAAATAAAAGTAATTTTAATTTTGTCACCTTCCAAATTTTTATCAAGTTCAACCGGAGTTTCACATGATTTGCAATCAATCATTTTTTTATTTTCTTCTAGCAGATTCATGTCAAATTTTTTCTCTTTTTTTTTTTAATTTTTTGTTGAGAGAAAAAATTTCCTTATTTTGATTAACTTTTATTTCCAAAAAGAATTATAGCTTGTTTAACCTTTTATCTCAAATTCTACAAATTTTTTTTCCGAGATACTCATTTTCTTTATTATCATGACCTATGAGATTTCTATCATCAACATATATAATGAGAATTGAGATTTTATCATCATTAGAGTGTTTTATGCATTGGGTGTATCAAGCTTCATTTATTAGTTTTGATTCTACCAAATCACACTTTTGGAGATTGTTTAAAGTTATATATAACATTTTAATTTGCACATTTTGTGCTGTGTTTAAAAAAAAATCAAATGCAAGTAATAGATTCATATAGATTTCTTCGTCAACAAAACTATATAAGAGAGCATGTTTTACAAAAAATTGCTATATGGCTACAAAACAAACTAAAATGCATACTGTATTGAATTTTTCAACAAGAGAAAAAGTTCCTTGATAAACAATTCCACAAGATTGAGAAATGAAAATATGAATATTTGTGGAATGGGATATTAAATACGGGCGATTGATTTGGGGTTGTGGAGAGGCAATACAAAATTTAATTTTATTTATTTAATAAATAAAAATTGAAATACAATAAATTAGATTTTTAAAAAGTTCAAAAAATATTTAAGATACGTGTCAAATTTATTTTTAATAGTTTTTAATCGGGCAGATCTTTGGTATGTCCAACATGTGTCGAAGGCGTGTCGAACGCGTGCCGTATCAAAGATGTGTCGAATAATGCATATCTGTTAAGCTCATAATAACAAAACAAAAAAAATCTCACGTACAAACCTTCCACCCGATGGATCCACGAATCCAGCTGAAATCGGCGCCCGAACAATCGCATCCCGTGATTTATGCCTGAAGCCCGCTCTCGATCTCTACCCGCTCTCGTCGTTAAATACACGCTACCCACACACTCCATTCGCTGCTCTCGATTTCCCCTCTGTCTCCCTCCTCCGAGTTCCATCGAGTCGCAAGCCACGAACCCCTCCAGCTCTCTGCCTTCATCTCTCCCTCACACATCTCCCGATCAACCTCCTCCGACCTCACCCAGCAGGCGAGCTCGCCTCCTCCCGTCAAGCCCGATCCTGAGAGAGAGAGAGAGAGAGGGAGAGGGAGAGTACCGAGCTCCTCTTACCTGGCTGAACTCCACCTTGCCCGATCCCAAGCAGCTGCCGCCTTCACCTCTTAAGCCTCACCCGAAACCTCCTGCGGCCTCCTGCTCCTAGCCGAACCCGGCCTCTGCCCGATCCTACCCGACCGAACTCCCTCTCACAGCCCTAACTCCACTTAAAACATACCCTACTCACTCCAACTCAGCCGACTCAGTCAACTCAACACTTGACTCAACCCACTTAAACCTAAAGCTCACAGACTCACTCCCACTCAGCTCAACTCAGCCAACTCACTCACTCACCCCTACCCGATTTGAGTCTTAGGTATATATTTTATGTTTATTTTATTTATTACTATTATTATTAATTATTTTTAATTATAATTAATTTATAAAATAATTATAATTAGTTTTAAATTAGTTATAATTTTTATAATTAGTTATATTAATTCTAATTAATTATAGTTAATTAACTATAATTA